TCAGGTGGAAAGAGAGGGGAAGAAAAATTAATGGATGATCTTAATTAAAATTATCCCTGTGAAGTCATCTGGGCCAGGGGTGGACAAATATGGCTCTTTTATAACCTGTGGACTTCAACTCCCAGAATTCCTGAGACAGACAAGCTATCTCAGGAATTCTGGGAGTTGAAATCCACAAGTTGTAAAAGAGCCACATTTGCCCACCCCTAGTCTGGGCAATCTTTGATTCTGTAAGAGAATTGATTCTTACAATATGTAATCCTTTTTCAAACCAGGTATAGACTACTTAATAGCAGGACAAGAAGACGCACGGACGAATAGACTCCTTGTGAACATGAACAGTCTGGTGAAGCCCTGGAAAGCTCACTGGGGGAAGTTTGTTGCAGATATACTACGAACCGGATGCAAATAATGTATTTTTTTTCCAGGTCAAGTCACACACATTAATAATATGGCAGTGAAAAGTTTAGTTAGTTCTCTAATGGTTAATCATAACTTTTATAATTAAGGAGAATTTAAAAGCAAACTCTCTTTCCTCCATTCCATTAAGTGCTTTAGACAAGAATCTTGTTCCGCGATTTCTTTTTTCCAAGACAACGATTTTCTCTCTCGCACATTTGTAAAAAAAAATAAAAATAAATGTAAAGACTGCTGAATTAACCTCATGTACCTAGGCTCACAGCCTGGCATATAGCTTGTTTTAGGATTACTGTATCTAGAGCTTTCAAATTTCACCAATACAATATATTTGTAACTGAGGCCAAGATTATATTACGCTGTTGATGCACAGTCATTACTAACAGAAAACTAGAACTCCTGCATTATTTATTTTTCTGGAGCTGGATTTTTTTTTATAGTGACTATGAAGGAAGAGCAAAAATTTGCTAAGTTACAGGGCTACAAAACATCAATCCGTCTGTCATATGAGTCTTGCTTATAGTTGAGAGGCCTGTTTAAAAAGCTGTTATTTTAAGGTACCCTACATAGCTTTTGGGTTCTACGACGTCTATGTGTTCTATTGGAATTTGCACTGGAATTGAGAAGATATTGTAGATGTGTCTTTGTGTCTATTTCATCAGAGAAGAAAACAGCAAAGTTATTGGAAATCTGGAAGGCAGCCTGAAAGGACTTGGAGCTGCAGGGTTTCTGGGAAGTGGAGGTCCCTGTTCCTGCTGTTGGTGTCCCCCTAAATGTCCTGACAAAATTCATGGGGAAAGAAGATGACTGACAATCTACACATTAGAATAAAAATAGCTGGCAATCCAAAACTTGATTACCACCACATTCCAAAGATTTGTTTTCTATAGTGTTGTTCCCACAACGCAAGAATCCAGAAAGTTCTGGTTTTCAAGTTGGTCCCACCTGCTCTCACCAACAGCCTTCTCCTGTTTTGTCCTGCATTTAGCATCCGTTGCATCAAAACCAATGCAGAAAGACCACTGCTATGAAGGACTTTAGGAGCCTACCAAGTTCTTTTAAGAGAACGAATGAGGCAAGAACCAGAAGTATTGGAATTTGCTTTGGGGTTATCAGATTTGCTACTGGATTGCATAGAAGACATACCAAACTGGTGATTTAAAGACTGACTGCCTCTTGAAACCCTCACATGGTCCTTTTTTGTTTTCTAAGTTAATATTTGATTTTCAATTTCTGTTGTGCTCATTTCACCTAAAATGCTTCATATTACCACTTTGTAGCTTCAGTCACTTGCCTTTTTCATACTGTATGCATGTTCAAGACATCTCAAAGGACAGATGCTTCTATTCATGATATTTATTTACTACTAGCCAAGATTCTTCTAACAAGCAGTGCTCCAAGGCAGATACAGATGAAAACCACTAACATTGCTGTGATTTGCTCAGGCAGAGACTAGTCAGAAAAGCACACAATCTGCGCTGCAGAAGAATGAGTGATTCCCCAGCTCCCTAGTGTTAATTTGTACTTCATTAATCTTATATACTATGCAAAACATAGTTGTGGTCTGAGACATTAGATACCGATGCAGAGAAAGAAAGTCTTCTAAGACAGCCGTTAAAACCCAGGCATTTCCATATAACTTGTGCTGGAGTATGACTGATGTAATTGTTTATATCACTTCTTGTTCTAGACTATGGAATTTCTTTTGAAAGGCACTAAAGTGTTTGCACTAAAAAAATAATCTCTCCTAAAATATGGGCAATAGGTTAAGGGAAGAAGTTTAATTTTGAATACATAGTTAAATGTCTTTTACTTAAGCTTTGGCCAAGGCATTATAAATCTTACTACCCTTTTAATGTAGAATCTGTTATGCATGTCAGTTAATTTATGGACACAGGACTTTTATTTAGTTCATCACAGTTTCTATTAAAATGCTAAAATCATTTTGGACACACTGTATAAACTATGTTTATATTATACCGCCTGCATTTTTTTCCTATTTTGTCTGATGAGTGTTCTGTTAGATAAAGAGCTAGATGGTTTATTGCTAAACCTAAGGGATTTCATTCATATAAAACATATTGTTAGAAGCTCTGGGTTTATAGCTGCTACTAAGTCAAAAGGCAATTCAAATACCCAAAATTTAAATGAAGAGACTAAAGAGGAAAAATAGTAGAATAGGATATGAAGGAAAGTAACAGCAACAGAACGGAAACCAGAGAATGATGTTTGCTCCATTTTCACCAGCATTTTCAATGGGGCATGACAGTGTGGATTGGAACTAAGGAGTCCCTGGTTCAAATTCCCACCTACCCAGAGAACTCCCTGAATGAGAACAACTTTTTCACAGAACTGTTCCAAAGATAAAACTGGGGGAGACTCTAATGCACGCTAATTTGAATGCCAGAGAAAAACAGAATATGCAATGGAAACAAGAAATGGAAACAAAAACATGACAAGACTAAGCATATTATCCTGAGATATAGTTGAGGTATATCTCATTCAGGTAAGTGGGGTAGAACTGATGTTAATGTGGTGAAAACAACTCTCTACAAAGGCAAACTAAAAATAATGGAATTGCTTGAATTGCAGTCCCATTGCTTGCAATGGGGATGTATGGCTTATTTTCTGCAATGATTTCAAATGAACTCACCTTAAGAAAATTTAGTCCACTACAATATTCAAATGCAGACCTAGTAGCGATGCCTTTTGGACACCAAGGTGGCCCTGTGAGAATCCTATGGTGAACAGATGTATCTTAGAGTGCTGTTGTAATGGCTGACAGCATTACCCAAAAGCAGTCTCCAAGAGATGTCTTATTAACCAGATGCTACAAAATTGGTTATATAAAAAATCTTTAAACAAAGGGGGCGGCACCAGCTTCTGATAGTCAACCTCTGATTTTCCTTTTGACCTGGCTTGGTTAAGTCCTATTCACAAATGCACTTCATCTGATTCCTCAGGAACTGTTCTTGTGGATAGCCGTTTCATTGACACTATATGCAGGCTGAAGAGGTTTTCTTGACAGTTTTTCTGAAAGGGTCAAACTATTGCTTGCATTTTACTTCAGTAAATGAAAAATGTATGTAAAATGTATGTAAAAAAAAATTAAAATGTCACATATATTCTGACCCTGTCAAGACATAAAAACGAGTTAATCGAAGTCAGCAGATTAACTGACTGGGGTGCATAGTATTGTGTGCTTCTGTTCAAAGATTATTTGGTTCAGTAGAGGAAACCTTAAGAGAGAACAAATTTGATTTTACAAAAAAAAATAAAAATAAAAGAAAACTGTTGATCTCACATTTATTAAATGTCCCTTAGGTTCAAATACTCACATGTTGGCAGGTGCAGGGCATCAGACTTAAGAAAATCAGTGAAATCACCTCTTTCCTTTCCATCCACTCATATCTAGTTGATCAAGCCTTTGCTTGAATGGAAAGATAGAATCTCAAAGATTTACATGTGTATTACACTCCTGCAATATTTTGTAGCAGAAAATCTACTTTAAATATGACTTAATCACCATGGCTATATGGGACATGTACTGTACAGTGAAAACTTTAGGGTTAAACTAAATTATTGGATAGGTTAAGATGTTCTTAACACAAAGAACATCTACCGATATCCCTTGATAATTCCAGAGCCACTTTGTCCCAGAATTCAGATCACAGGATGCTAGAATTCTCAGATGAGAAGGCTTGAGGTAGTCCTCGTTCAAAGACCCTAATTGAGAATGGACTTTTCACTGCTAAGCAAAAAGGTTGTTAGGTGGAATATCACATGATCATACCGCTTAACAATGGCAGTTCCAGTAGTCCCAGTTGTGGTCATTAGACAAGGGCCACACATTTCTGCTCTGTGCAAACTGTCGTCCCCAGCAGAAGCCTGAGGTTCTTGCCTAACAACTGCAACTGGGACTAGCAGAGCAGGGCCTGAGGAGCTCCCTTTGACAGATGGGACTCTGCCACTGCTGCATTTGCCTCTGGTTCAACTCCCTCCGCTTGTCTATCTCCCACTCCATCGCTGCCCCTTTTTGAATGCCTTGTACCTTGCTGCCCTTAGCTGACCTTTGCCATCTTTCTCCTCCTGCTGGTTGAGGGCCCAGACCTGGGATGTGCACAGGAGACCCTCACCTGTTCAAGGGAACATGCCAGATGTGGATGGGGAGGAAGCAGCAGGATAGAGCTGGGGACAGAAACCGTAAGAGGCAAGGGAGCAGTGTGGATGGTTTGCTCAGTTGTCACCTTCTCCAGGGAAGAAGACAGCAAACATCATTTGGAGGTGGTGGTGGTGGTGGTAGGAGCAGACAGCAAAGTACAGGGTGGCCAAAAGGGTGGAGATAAGTGGGGGGAGTTGAAGTGCATAGTCTGGTCATAAATGTGGGCCACTTGCCAAATGCCCACATTTTGATTATGTGACCACGGGATGGTAATGCTGTGGCCTCAATTTTAAAGATTGGTCATAATTATAAATGGTCACTGAATGGTCATTAAGTAAGGATTGCCTGTTTGCCCATTTGAACAAATCAATGTAGCCTGTCAGAGGGAACAGTTATTAGCATTAACAAAAGACACAGAGGCTTGTGTAACGGTAAAAGGAATTCACTTTTAATATACAGTCAAATCACAATACCTATGCAGAGGCTTGTTACCCCAGGTAACATTGCAATTGTCCTATTAGGGCCAGCAACCTGCTGGAAGAGGAAACAAAAGAAACCCCTCAAAACAGGGATTATAAGGAACATTAAGGAACACAGTGACCAATGTTTTTCTCTGACTGCTCAGTTACGGCTAGGCCTGATCAACCTTTATTTTAAAATAGAAAATCAATATATTAACATTAATTTTCTATTATTAGAAATTAATTATACATGCAAACTTCCTGTGCCATCAAGCACATAACTGACTAACCGAACATTTTACCCAGATTTCTGAATCTTTCTGGTAGTTCTGAGAAATCTGTATTAATTTTAATCATATAAAATCTTGAAGATAGCTAACAACTGACATTTTGCTGATCCGGTGTTCTTGCTTTCCTAAAAGAGCATTAACCATTACTGTTCTTCAAGCCAACCTATAGACTGAACATAACTGGAGAAGAAAAGTGATAAAGCACTGGTGGCGTCTACATTTCTTCTATACTGACTCTACTGCAACATTTCTTTGTTAAAACCATAGGGCTGAAGCTTCTTCACAGTAAGTGAGTTTTACATGATACAGTGTACAGAAGTGCATTCCTTGCGGGATCAATGGGGTGGAAAGAAAGAAAGGAGAGAAGATACTCTGCCCTGTCTAAATGTCTCTGAATATGGAAAGGAGACCACAGCCTCCATGCTCATTCATTAGCTAGACCCATCCTTTTCTTTGCCAGCTGAAGGAGTAGTTTCCAAATCTTTGCTTTGATTATCTTCTTCATCTTCATCATCATCATCATTTTCTTGAGGATAAAGATCTGGGTATTTCTGCATACATTCTTGCATTGCACGAAACTGGTCCACACAATCTGATCCCTTAATTTCTTCCTTGCTATAATGAAAACAGGAAAATGCTGACTTGAATTGTTCCCCACAAGGACCACTAGCCATTCCACCAAGGCATGGGCAGTTCCAGTTGATATCTCCATTAGGCAATATCAAACCTTAAGAAGAGAGGAAAAAAGGTAGTAAATTACAGAACTATTTTATATTGGGACTTACATAATGGCTGGGTTCACACACAGCACAACAGATTCTTTAACTATATTCAGAGTCAAAGTTTAGTCAATACAGATAAGGCAAGCCAAAAATTAATTACAGTGACTGAGTTGAAATGTTTATTAATTTCAGTTTTTATAAGCTGCTACACTCTGCAGATATGCTTATCATACCCTGAACCAAACAAATTACGTTTTACTGAGCATTATGTGTGATCCAAGTCATTAAGCTTCATAGTTTGTTAGGAACCTAAGTGAAATTCTGTATTTTGAAGTAACAACATATTTGGTGATTAACATATTTTTGATCTTCCTAAAAACCTTAGTGGTGACATAGGAAAACAAAAGATAAGAGCAACTTTGTTTTTAAAGTTTATGGCAAAAGGAAAAAAAAATCAAATTTAGGATGGAAAATATTAAGCCAATGAAAAAAAGCTTTTGTTCAAGGTAGCAAAAATAGCGGTGTGTTTTACAAATGAGAACTTACAGAAAATTTTCCCTGATTGTTCAGGTCTTTTGTAAGCACTCAAAATATACATGTTATCAGTTTTCAGATGTCAACTTTCCTTTATCTCACTAAAATCACAAAAATCAGCACATGCAGGCCACTAAAATCTTCTGTTGCCCATCTGATATGAACTTGGATGGAACTGGACAAGCAATGGTTTTAAATCTTGATAAAGATTGTGAACTAATGTCCAATAAATGGCTGTTTCATAAAAATCCACCGATTGTTTATTTGAATCTGGAACTGGTTAATAATGTATCTATGTAGATTCTCAATCATCCAGGTCATAGATGTCCCAAAGGTGCTTTTCTTTTTTCCTTGAAAACATTTTGACTCTCATCAAAGAAGCTTCTTCAGTTCTAACTCAATTAGAGGGGAAGGGGAAGATTTAACAGATGTGGAACCTTTTTGGGAATGCTAGTCCCAAGAAGATTCCACATCTGTTTGCATTCTGATTCAGGTGACTCTGGGGATAGAGATAAAGCCCCAAGTGGCTCAACAACTCTCAGAGAGCTAAGAACCCTCAAAGTACTAACAACCAGATGACTGCAAATAATATAAATCCTTCCATTCTGTCAGAACTGAAGAAGCTTCTTGCATGAGAAGCAAAACATTTTCAAAGAAAGGAAAGTCCCGTTGCCTTTTGGAAAAGCACCTTTGGGAGATTAATAATATATATAATATACAGCTAGCATTGTAAACAATAATTTGAAATTGGCTTATTTTCAAAATAACAATACATGATGTCATACATCATCATCATCATTATGTTCAGGTACAGACATAAGGACAGCAAAAGCTTTTTGTTTCCTTCTTGTGGCAGTGCCAAAAAAGGGAATGGGAGCATGAACAAACATGAAGCTCATTGAGAAAACATAACTCTTCCCTTTAGAATTAGAGGGAAGGCGCAATGGCAAAATAGAAAAAAAACCTGGTTGGTTATGTCAGGGAAACTATATAACCTGGAGAAGAGTTGGTTTATTCCACCACCACACACACCCCTCCCCCCTTGCCAATATATCACAAACTACAGAAACAGGTGGCCCTTATTATCCTTTTTTTAATAGAGTGCTTGAAAACTATAAACCAAACCTCATTATTTGTTTAGTATATCTGTTATTGGTAAGCTTTTTGTATACTTTATGCATATGCAGAATGGCAGACAGATCTTTGCACATGATATGCAAAAATCATTTTTTGCAGTTTTGTTATCCATTCTTTTGTTTGGCTACAAAAGAATTCCCATAAATAACAAGGGCTGCTTGTGACACACATATTTTAAAGGATTCAGTATGATGGAGCCACAGATTTCTACCAATATACCATCCTGCTTGTGTCTATGCTTGAGAAAGAATTGGAGGATCTTAACGTAAAGATTTAAATTATTAGATCTTACCTAATTTGTTACCAAAAAGGTACTATCTCAGATTAGATATTATTAATCATTCACTAAGACTGATTATTATGCTGGTTACATTTGTTAATTATTGAATATTCATTTGATTTTAATAATGATTTTGAAATGCTATACACAAGGACATTTTTATTTGCAGTACTAACCTAACATTACTTCAAAAACTTTATTCAATTTTATACAGCTTTTAAATTATTTTCTTTTTGCTCTTTTATTTCTTTTTCTGCTGTTTTCATTGTACTTTCAATTTTCTGTTAACTTAAATTAAATATTAAGATTACGTGAAGGTAATAGTAACATTTTCCAAATAATATTTGCATATTAACATATTCCAAAGAAAAATCTTTCTTTCTTTCTTTCTTTCTTTCTTTCTTTCTTTCTTTCTTTCTTTCTTTCTTCCTTCTTTCTTCTTTCTTTCCTTCCTTCCTTCCTTTCTTTCTGTAAGCAGTTTTGTTCACTTTTGTATTTTGTTTTTAAAGTTTTAACTTAAGTTTGTTCTTATATGATAAAAATAAAATTTACATGAACATTCAGTTCATTATAAAAACCGTTTTTCCTGATCTCTAATTTTTGTACAGATTTTTTTAAATTGGCATATTTTATAGGTATGGCCATTGAAGAGGCACATCACAACTATAGGAAAAATGATAATTAGTTTTGGCTTGTTGAATGGGCTGCACACTGGTATGTAGAGTTAGTTTTTCATAGAATACAAACCAAAAAATTCCTCAGCTACCATAGCAAAAAGTCAAATAGTAACAAACATAAAATCTATTTGATTCTCTAATGTACTAACTCCACAGGGGGGAAAACCCAGATGGTTCATAAGAGCAATGATGCCCCAGGAAAGCTGAAAATTGGTTCTTACAGTCACTTGTGACACACAGCTGCAAGTAGATTTATAGGATTAATTTGGTTTCCATTTCTATAAAGTCAATTGGCACTTCTATTTGGAAACAAGGAATTGCTTCTTTAAAAAAATGCATTCAGCTTTTCATGTAGATTTTCCTCTGGACAGACCCTCTTTTCACTAAGGCAAATATAAGGGTGGGGAGGGAAGTTTCATTCATTCTTTGTGTTTATATGTGGCCAATAAGCAATTTTGCTTCAAACCTTTAGAAGCTGTGGCAGGAGTCACAAAGCAGAGATCATTTCTATCCATTCTAAATGCTCAGTCCTGGCTCCGGGCCAGCAACGCAGCCTGTCTGAAATTAGAAAAGCTGAAAGATGGATTTCTGCACATCCTTTGGCTATAATATACAGATGGCACTTAAGGTCTAAGAGCTGAGGGAAAGGGACTAGCGATTTCTTTTCATCTCAAGAAGGGTGCAAGGTTAACTTTAATCATGTCAAGGCTGAAAGTCATTTTCAGTGTCTTACTATGAAGTATATTGGCTAGCATACTCTAAGAATGGCTGCTCCCAATTATATAACTGAAATTATGTTTCTCCCTAAATGTCTTCCCTAATATCTTATATCATTTTGATGTATCTTCCTGATGTAGCAGCCCTTGCAATAACCTCATTTAGTATGCAGCACTTAAACATATTGTTTCATCTGAATATTTTGATAATTAATGAATCAGAAATAGAGCTCAGGATGAGAAATAACAAAATGCAAAAATAATGAAAGCATGAAACAAATTTACAAACACAGGAAATAAAATTGAGTGATATAATAAAAACTATTATTGAAAAATTTTATATTCTGATCTAAAATATGCCACATCTTACACATGCACAATAGGAAATGTATTTTATTAAGAGTTCCAAACAAAACCATCCCACTTTAAATATTGTCTGTCTGAGCAGACTCCACTGTCTTCTGTCAAAACAAAATCTGAAGTGTTTTGTTCTCACATTAAAGCAAAATTCTTGGAACATAACTATGCTTTATTTCAACCCTAAAATACTCAAACACTGACAGTGGAATATCCCATTTTAAGTTTGTTTTTTTAGCTGCAAAACTCTGAAAACACAATCACCCAAATCTTTGTTCAAGACCAAAATAAAACAGAGTGCTTTGTTTCAACCTCAAAATGAAACTCCTGGCGCATATCTTTTTTTCATTCAAAATGGCCATTTTGGACTCAAAACATTTTGCTCATCTCTCTTACAACTTCTCCTTTTTAAGCCTGCCCAGGTGCTAAGCATGAATTGGATTAAATGCATTATAAATGCCTTGTTATTCCTATAGCATCAGAAAAAAGGACTTTTTTCACTATCCTAATATTGTTTTTATAAAATTTAGATTAGCCATGCACCCCAAAAGGCATAGGAGTCATTAAGGAAGGATTACCTGTATTCTACAAGCTATCACTGGAGGTTCCATAAGAGGGCCATATGAGAGATGGCTTCTCTTCTCAAGCCTTTTTACTGGTTTTCTTACCTGCTTTTAGGCTGTTTTCAGTGATCAAAGACATTGAGCTTGTCAGGTAGAAAGCTGATAGCCCAGGTTCAAGGCCTGAGCACTGTGCACTGGGATAAGCTCCCGTTACTTGCCCCAGCTGCTGCCGATCTAACAGCCTGAAAGCATGCAAATGCAAGTAGATAAAGTAGTACCACTTCAGTGGGAAGGTAATAGCATTCCGTGCGCTTCCGCATATAGTCATGCTGGCCACATGACCATGGAAGTGTATTTGGACAACTATGGCTCTCTCTTTCTCTCTGGGCTAAGAAACAAGAGATGAGTACCGCCCCCTAGAATCAGACATGACTGGACAGGAGAAACCATAGTTTTCATTCAGGTTTTTATTTTTGTACTTTTGTAAAACTTGAAGCTACTAAAACAGACATAGCTTCTGAGATATAGTCATGGAAAAGCTGGTGTTCAGTATTAATTCAAATGAATCCAGTGTTTTTCTATGAAATACTTTCTAGGCTTTTAAAGTTTGAAATATCTGATTTAATTCGGGGGCTTGATTCTATTTACAAAAGTAAAGAATGTCATATAATCCTTTTCAATAATGTACACCTTTCATTATACCAATTTACAAGTTAAATATATAAGCTGCTTTGCTCCAGACAATACATAAAATTAATGGTGTCCATTACCAGCCAAATTCATGTGACTGAGGTATATGTTGGGAAATAAGGCTCAATCAAGCCAACATATCTATGTTTGAACTATCAGAGTGAGCAAATGCTGCCCTCTAGAGATAAGACTGAAATACAGATTTCTCACTAATATTTTGAAATAAAATTACTTGTGTGCCACCCGACTCTGAATGATTCAAGAATGACTTTTGCAAGTTTGATTGTAGGAAATATGCCAAGCATATAGGAGCACATGTTAAATATACCTAATTAAAAAATACTAAGTATATTTCTCACTTAATTGATAAAACAATCTGTTTTTGTTTTCCTTTGAAAATGCAAAATGACAATCTGCATGTTTTTCTTTAATACTGCTAAACAGAGGCTCTCCAACTTTGCCATAATGAATATTCTCCATACATTATGTGCCTACTTATATCTTATTCCAGGTTAATGAGGATGAGATGTATTACATATTTTTAGATTCATCCACAATCAGAACTCCCTTTTTGAATAAAATGTGAATAAATTGGAACAAACAGTAATAGTCTTAGCACAAAAGGATATGTAAGTGAAAACTCGTTCTCATGAAGTGGAAACATAGGCTACTGTTATACCTCAATAGGCTGCAAGTCATTTTATTGCAAATTGTGCTTTCTTAAGAAAACATAAGAAAAACAATATCATCCACAACATTTGCATATATTTATATTGAACATGGAAGTATTAAAATACCAAAGGGATTACTCTGTATAGGCAAGAAGAGTTATTTAGATTATGTCTTAGTTTCAAAAGGTGATTTAAAAGATTGCCTGCTATTTTTTACATAATAGAGATGTGCAATATAGGTAGTCTTTGAGTTATAACATCCGTTCAGTGGCCATTTGAAATAACAACAGAGACTTACAACTGGTATTTGATGTTTTAGCTATTACAGTACCCCTGTGGTCACATGAACACAATTCAGGTGCCTGGCAAAAAAACTTATGACTAGATGCAGCATCCTTCAGTCACATAATGATTTGTGACCTTTCCTGCTGGCTTTTCCAAGCCAAATCAATAGTTAAGTGTCGTTTCTACAGGCCTTTCTTTGCACACACCCTTTCCTTTGCCCAAACTTCCACATCATTTTTCCTTGGCCTCCTTGCGATCACTCACACACTACACACTTTGTCTTCCCTGCAATGGCACCTATGATCACATGGACTCTTTCCATGTGCTCTTTCCCTGGCCTTGTGATCACACACATGTTCCCTAATGCCTTTGGATTATAGATTTCCTGTCTGGTCGCTCTCAGAGGGTCAGATTAGGTAATCATAGCTCTTCAGCCCTTATTCTTAACACTGGTACACCACAGGGTTTCGTGTTGAATCCCTTACTCTATACTCTTTATGTGTATGACTGCATTTCCACTCACGCTAGTAATACTATTACTAAATTTGCAGATGATATAACAGTGGCGGGGTTTATCTCCGGGGTGTGTGTGTGTGTGTGTGAGTCTGCCTATCGAGATGAGGTGGACCAGTTGCTTTCGTGGTGTGGAGACAATAATTTGGTCCTTAACACCAATAAGACTAAGGAGTTTATAGTGGACTATAGAAGGAATAGATCAGACATCCAGCCCTTGCTTATCAATGGAGACCGAGTGGAGCAAGTGGTCAGTTTTAAGTTTCTGGATGTTAGCATAACAGAGGATCTGACCTGGGGCACTCACATTGCAGCACTGGTCAAAAGGGCCCAGCAGAGATTACACTACCTGAGACTTCTCAGGAAACAACTGAATGAAAAACGGCTGGTGACCTTCTACCGCTGCACCATAGAGAGTATTTTAACTTACTGCACCTGTGTATGGTTTGCCAATTGCACAGTGGCAGATAGGACAGCACTCCAGAGAGTTAACATCATTGCCCAGATGATCACTGGTTGCCCTCTCCCCTCTTTGGAAGAGCTTTATAGCTCCCGCTGCCTTAAGAAAGTTCAAAACATTCTTAAAGATCCATCTCATCCTGGAGAAACCCCCCCCCCCTTTTTTTTTAAACTATTACCATCTGGCAGACGGTACAGAATAATAAAAACAAGGACAAATATGCAGAAAAACAGCTTCTATCCCAGATCAGTAACTATATTGAATTCTACTGTATAGTGCAATATTAATGCAATATCAGGGGTTTTCAATTCAATTGTATAGTATGTGAAGGATGTGTGTTTTTGTTTTCTTTTTATAGTTATAATGTACACTGAAGATGGCATTTAATTTCATTGTGCGGGGTACAATGACAATAAACTAAACTAAACTAAACTTTTTCCTTGGCTTCCCTGTGACTGCACACCAGTATGCATGTACCCGGCACCCTTTCTGCTTGATCTCACTGTGTGAGATCATACACAACCAGGACTGCCTGGATTATCATCACTAAGCAATGCAGTCAAGTGTAAATCTCAACATTATTCAATAAGACACAAAACACGTTATTTATATTCCACTAACCATGATCTTCATAAGGATCATTGGGATCATCTGCCACCAATTCAGCATTGCTTGGAGTTTCATGGTCTTCTTTGGTCACAAATATAATTCTGTCCTTTCCTAAAAATTAGGGGAGGAAAGCATACACAATATTAGAAGATCAGGTAATGTCTGTTCTGCCATTACCTTCTGAACAAGTTCATCAGCAGATGACACTGGGCCCTGGAGATGCTTCAATGTAAGCCATGTATATCTTGACATTAAATGTAATGTCAGGTAATAATACTGGCTCAGATTAACATCTACTCTAGTTTAGTTTATTGATTATATTATTAATTTAGTTTACTCTCCAGAGGAAAAAAGAGAAAGTTGGCAAAGAATCATGCTAAGTTTAATTTTCTTTCCTGCATATGTTTACTTTGGCAGATAATTGTCAGTATATATACTCAGCCTTTATGTAAAATGGTACCACTTCCTACCAGACTGGGATCTGAGTCAAGTATGCCCAGAACTTAGTATTCTTTCTTATGTAAGGTTCTATTGGAAAAACTTTTTAAATTTCATCCTTTATTTGAATAGTTCTACATGTTATCTCTTTTGCCATCAAGTACCCTACAAGACTATATAAATATGATAAGGAAATAAATAATATGACAAGCTAAAATGAACTTTTATGTTCTTTCTTATTTTTTTTTAATAAAGACCATGTTTATGGGTAGTCCTCAGGTTATAATAGCATTTTGGGATTGGGATTACTGTCACTAAGCAATGCAATCAAAAGAGTGGTATTATAGGACCACATCACTTAACGACAGCAATTCCAGCAGCCTCAGTTGCCACTGTATCCTCAGAACTGTGCAGGCATTTCAGTGGGAAGAAGTAGGAGTCCCAACAAGGGACTTCAACAGTTGCTAAATGAGGTTGTACTCAAGAATTATCTTTATTGTTTGTGAGAATGATCTACCTCAAAGAGGATGTATGTTGTTGCCAATTTCCCTAGTCGCACATCCTGAGGCAGGAGATTGCACTATAGAATTTATTTCCCAACTGTCATTTAGATATTTTTTTGTTTACAGGTGAATTGCACAGTGTGAAAGCCATCTCTCTCTCACATGCTAGGGTTGGTGGAGGAAAGAAACATCTCCCTGGAAAATAGATGGTGCCACCACCAAAAGGAGGCAGGAAGACAACGCCAGGACCTGTAGAGCCAGAAGATTTCTAGAAGATGATTCAGATCCAACTTCTCAGTCTTGCTGCTGCAGGAAGGTCCTAATGAAACACTTACATTCATTCATTTCTTCTGATCAGAAAGTTGATATTATCAGCTGACTGCTGGTCAGTCACTCAGACTGGAATAACAATAGATTTATATACCGCTTCATAGTGCTTTTACAGCCCTCTCTAAGTGGTGTAGAGAGTCAACATATTGCCCCCAACAATATGGGTCCTCATTTTACCCACCTCGGAAGGATGGAAGGCTGAGTCAACCTTGAGCCTGGTGAGATTCAAACTGCCAAATTGCAGGCAGCCAGCAGTCAGCAGAAGTAGCCTGCAATACTGTATTCTATGGTTAGTTTTATTCACCTATAGAGTTCTTCCCAAAGACCTGGGATTGACAGGTGTTCTTTCTCTGATGATGTAAAAGGGTATCGTCGCAGGATGTAGACTGTTTATTAATATTGCCAAGCATCTGAATTTTTTATCACGTGATCATGGGGATGTTGCAAAAGTTGTAACTGAAAAACGGTCATAAGTTACATTTTTCAGTGCCATTGTAACTTTGAATGGTCACTAAATAAACTGTTGTAAGTCGAGGACTACCTGTAATATTCAACATTTTACCTATCTGGGGCAATTCAAGGCGATGATAATATATACAGGTAGACATAGACTTACAACAGTTCATTTAGTGACCGTTCAAAGTTACAGTGAAAAAAGTGACTTATGACGGTTTTTCACACTTATGAGCATTGCAGCCTCTCCATGGTCACGTGATCAAAATTTAGACACATGGCAACTGACTCATATTTATGACGATTGCAATGTTCACGTGATCAGCTTTTATGATCTGATAAGCAAAGTCAATGGGGAATCCAGATTCAGTTAACAATCGTGTTACTGATTTAACAATTGCAGTGATTCATTTAACAACTGTGGCAAGAAAGGTCGTAAAGTGAGGCAAAATTCACTTAACAAATGTTTTACTTAGCAACAGAAATCTGGGGCTCAATTGTGGTCGTAAGTCGAAGACTACCTGTAATATAGGTAATACAGGTACCATGTTTCCCCGAAAATAAGACCCTGTCTTATATTTTTTTGAACCCTGAAATAAGCACTTGGCCTTATTGCCATGCACTCAAAAGCCTGATTGGGCTTATTTATTTTATTATTTTATTTATTAGTCATATTTCTATGCCGCCCATTCTCCGAGGACTCTGGGAAGCTTACACCAAAGCCAGTATACTAGATAGTCAGTATACCCCAACAATCTGGGTCCTAATTTTACCCACCCCGGAAGGATAGAAGGCTGAGTCAACCTTGAGCCGGTCAGATTTGATCCGCTGATCTGCTGAACTAGCAGTCAGCTGAAGTAGCTGCAGTACTGCACTCTAACCACTGCGCCACCTCGGCTCATAATATTATCAGGGGATGTCTTATTTTGGGGGAAACAGGGTAGTCCTTGACTTATGACCACAATTGAGGCCAACATTGTTAAGTGAGACATTTGTTAAGTGAATTTTGCGATCTTTCTTGCCATAGTTGTTAAATGACTCACTACAGTTGTTAAATTAGCAAGTGGGCTGTTAAGTGAATCTGACTTCCCCATCGACTTTGCTTGTCAGAAGGTCACAAAAGGGGATCGCGTGACCTCGGGAGACAGCAACGAAGCGTCTGAATTTTGATCGCAGGAGCACGGGGATGCTAGAAAGGTCGTTTGCTGTGAAAAAACAGTCACAAGTCACTTTTTTTCAGCGCCGTTTTTAACTTTGTCACTAAACGAATCGTTGTAAATCGAGGACTACCTGTAATACTCCTCCCTCCTCCTATTCCCCCCCCCCGTTAACAACAACCCTGTGAGGTGGGTTGAGCCGAGAGAGAATGACCAGCCCGAAGTCACCCAGCCGGCTCTCATGCCAGCCTCCACGCTCCTTTCGCCCCGGTCCCGTTTCTATTGGGCTCCCTAAAGACTCAGCTGGGGCACAGATCCGTTTGCCGGCTCTCCTCTCTCTTCCGTTGGGCTGCCCTCAGGAGCCGGCCTTACCGTGACCACCGCCCCTTCCTCCCGCGACCCCGGTACCTTCTTGCCTGCAGTAGGACATGTCTGGGCCGAGCTGGGAGCGACTCCGAGTGACCCACTGACGGAACGACCCGCTTAATCCGCCGCGGGTGCCCGGCTGCAGCCCAGCGAAGCGCGCGCCTTTCCCCACGCGCTCTCAGGGCCCCCTCGCGGCCACCTCTCAGCCCAGAGGAGAAGGACCCCAAAAGAGAGGCGGCCTTGAAGCCGCCTGACCGCTTCTCTCCCCACAACCCCACCCGGCTGTTCACATCCGCAGAGGAGCCCGCGAATCGGGAGGCCTCCGCGACAGGTTACAGCGCGCTTTTTTTTTTTCCCCCCCTCCCGAGTATCCCAAAGTAGAAACGGGGATGAGGAAGAAAAGAACGGAAAGAAAAAAAAAACGGATAATAGCCGTTATTCTCATAACGGACTACATGTTCCAAGAGGCTGTGCGAAAGAACCGGCCCTTCCGCCGTTTTCCCGACAGGCTTTGCGACCTTGACTGGTTCTCAGTTTCGCCTCTCCTTCCCGCCTAGAAAGTTCAATGATATTCCCAGCAATGCTTTGCGAAGGATAGGCGGGGTCAGGGACTTTATTTCTCTCTGGGCTCCAGGTTATATTGCCCCCTCCCCCACGCCCACTTTCGCCTCTATATGCACGCACGCGCGCACGGGCCATCCCAGGTCTGTGAAGGAGGGCGGAGTTTGCCGCGAGTGCTAGAAAGAGAGAGAGAGTGAGAGAAATTCGCGTTTGATCTGTAGGAGACTTTGGGCGTTACATCTCCTCCGGCCATTAGATCTCTTCCTTCCACTTTTAAGAATACCTCGGGGAGTTGGTGCATTTATTTTTTTTTTAAAAAAAGCTCAAAGCACACCGATATATGTAAGTATGGGCTTTTTCCCACCTTTTTTTTTAAATTAAGAAAAAAAGTTTGGAGATACTTTGCAAATGGGAAGGGGCAATGGGAAGAAGAGGGGGTCAGCCTCTTCTCCAAAGCCCCTGAAGGCAGGACAAGAAGCAATGGATGGAAACTAATCAAGGAGAGACTCAGTTTAGAATTAAGGAGAAATTTCCTGACAATTAGAACAATTGATCAGTGGAACGACTTGCCACCAGAAGTTGTGAATGCTCCAACATTGGAAATTTTTAAGAGCAGCTACTTGTCTGGAATGGTATAGGGTTTCCTGCCTGAGCCAGGGGGTCGGACTAAAAGACCTCTGAGGTCCCTTCCCACTGTGATATTCTGTTATTCTGCAGCATAGAAATACTAATAAATAAATGTATACAACCAATAAGAAACAGGTAACCCCTTCATGAGTGTTGACAGCCAGGAGTGCGATCCACCACACCTGATTTCAGAGGAAAGAGATGGGGTAGCTGGCCGATTTGTCAGGCAAGGTTTTTTTTATTTTTAGGAGAAACGCATTTGCTTTATCCAAAGGGTGGTGATAGGGTCTCGCTATTTTTTGGTTGGCAAGCATGAGAAATGAATAGTTACACTTCCGACCAAATTCTGCATAAAAGATAAGGTGGTTGCCGCTGAACGATTTGACAGAATGAGCTTGCGTGTAAGAGTTTCTGCTTGATTTCATGCTGCTTCCAATCTGCACATACATTCCCATGGAAAAGGGCGTCGTCTTGTAAATTGTTCTGGAGTGTTGTCACTTGCAGTGTTTAAAACGGGCCTAATGCATTCCGATGTTTGCATTCTGGCACAGGCTTTTCTGATTGGGTTTAGTAGTCGCTACTACCTTAAGTTTTGAAGTGTCTCACCTTCCACTTTCTGCTCACCAATGTCCACCCCTGTGTAAACAAATGACATGATTGAGACTGTGTGAACAGCAACTGTATTACAGCGTTGTGTTACTGTATTTAACTGAAAGTAACTTCTTGAACTGAATGAGACTTATTTCTAAGAAGGCGTGCATGCAATTATTTTTTTAAAGAAGTCATGTCTTGAGTATATTAAAAGTGATGATTAATGTAATAATCAGTCTAGTTTTCTTATTAAGCTATCAAAAGTTTTTGTGCTAGTAAGGAACTGGTTAATAAAGAACTTAATTTAGTTTTATTGCTGGTTGATTTAGTTCAGAAGGCACATAATCGGAGAATAAAAGAAAGAAAAAGAAAAATACGCATTTGTTTCTTTTGTTTGTGTTCTGATATTTAGGCTTGATCCTGTTTTATTAGCTATGGTGTAGGGATTGCTACAATAATACCATTACTTCAGATTAATCTTGGAAGAGGGGCTTCAGAAAGCATGGCAGCAACACCTGAGTACTATGACTCATTAAAACACCCATGTCTTTTTCAAGTATTCTGTGACTGCTGTAAAGAGGCCTTCATGGCAACCAAGATATTCTTGGGAACAAATCTGTATTTTTTTCAAAGAGTTGTAGGTGGATGTTGCATTCCACTTCTGAAAGTTCTGAAGAGCCTCTTCTAAACTGAATCCAAAGTTTGTACAAACTTTCTGTGCACAGATTACTTTCATGTTCTTCTCTGAAAAATTCCATACATGTTGCTCTAAGCAACTATTACAAAATATTATGGCATAGACACGCCTACAACTATCTTTAAATCGATGATAGGAAATTTGTTATTGCTTTTGTTGCTAAGTTGTGTCTGACTCTTTGCAATCCCATGGACCACAGCATGCCTTATTATTTACTTATATATATAATATATATTTATTAGTATAGCCTTCTTATTTGCTTTCTTAATGCAAATTTTAAATTGTACTATGTAAACCTGTAACCTACTCATTTTGAGAAGAAGCTACTATAAATATTATGGCTTTATATTGAAAAGTCATGCATTACAATAAGCATTATGCAATTTATTCAGTTTTGGTTTGGGATGGTATGTGAAAGCATATGGGTATCTGGCTCTTAGGTTAGTTGAATTTGTATTTTTTCCATGGTTTATTGAAGAATTTTTGTGCATACACTAGACGATAGCAAGAAATATTAATAGGAAGATTCATACAATGTGCTAAATCAGAGGTAGACAAATATAACTTGTGGGCTGGGTGTTATCCAGCATTTTGAGATTACACTACAAAAAATCAGCAACAAAATAGACTAGTTTTGAGCGTACCTTTTCCAAAGATGCTACAGAGACTTGGAAGGCCTCTGAAATGCTGTTTATTCTGTTTTAAGTCACAGTTAAATCAGTGACATAGGTGAAGCTAATTAGTGCCACATGCTATCATATTGTCTTGCTCCTCTTCTGCCATTGCAGAATTGTGATGCTGCAGAAGGAGGATTGGACTGAAAGAGTTCTTCCAAGGAAATAGTTAGAGAAGTTAGACTTTTCCCATCTGTGGATAGATGGATAATCCATCAAACTGAAATTTAGCTGAGTTTCTGCCCTCCAGAAACTCCCAGTTTATGCTGTCATATTTTTGCTCATCAAGTGAAATCCAAATATGTACCGTATGCTATTGTCCTTGAGAAATCACCATCGCCACTTCAGTGCCACTAGTAAGCCCAGTAAGTGAAGCTATGTTTTTCATTATTAATGGATTTCCTACGGTAGTTAGAGAATTTCTTGTAGCTGCTGCTACCCTGCCAATTTCTACAGAAGTCCTTGACTTACCCCACAACTGAGCCCAAAATTTCCATTGCTAAGCAAGGCAATTGTGAAGTAAGTTTTGTTTCATATTGCGAACTTTTTTGCCATATCATGTAATCATTAAGCAAATCCGGCTTCCCCAATAACTTTGATTGTCAGAAACCAATGGTGATCACATGACCCCAGGTCAGTGCAATTGTCACAAATACATGCCCGTTGCCAAGTGCCCAGATTTTGAGCATGTGGTTGTGTGGATGCTGCAATGGTCGTAAGTGTGAATACTGGTCATAAGTCACTTTTTTCTTATACCGTTGTAACTTGAAACAGTTCAAACAGTTGCTAAACAAATGGTCGTAAATCGAGCGCTACATGTACTTGAGTTATAACAGTAGGTGGTAGCAGATGTGCCATTCAATAACTCTTTCCCTTTTTGTTCTTTTCAGTAGTTCTCTGAAATGGGTGGAAAGAATGAGCACGTGAAGGTCACAACCGAGCACAAGCCTGGGTTTCTAGAGCGCCTGAGTGAGACTTCTGGAGGGATGCTTGTTGGCCTCGCCACCTTTGCCCTGTCTTTCTACATTCTTTTTACCAATGAGGTGAGAGAGAATAGGTCAAAATGTCAGATTTCAGCTGTTTCAAGTTTGAAACACTTCTTCAAAATGCTTATGGCATGCTGTTTTATGAATGAACCAGTGAATAGTTCTGGCTATGGAGACTCTCAGTCATCCAGGTCATAGTTGTCACAAAGGTGCTTTTTCAAAAGGTAGCTGGACTTTCTTTGTTTTTCCCTGAAGACGCTTCTCATTCAAGAAGCTTCTTTAGTTCTCAGAACTGAAGAAGCTTCTTGAATGAGAAGTGAAGCGTCTTCAAGGAAAAACGATAGAAAGTCCAGCTGCCTTTTGAAAAAGCACCTTTGGGATGAATAGTTCTAACTTTTTTTTAATGCAATTTCAAGGAAAACTACAATCCTGTGTCAGGATGTTTTGCATTTTTATATTTAGCATCAAACTCAGAATTTTAATTCAATGATTTCTTGTGCCAAATAGTTACAAAATAGGTTTTGTAAGCTGTTTTGCACAAACAGTGCATAAAGCTTGCATGCTTATCTTCCTGCCTTCCTAGATATTATTAGTCAGTTAGATTATTTAAAGAAGAGAAGGTTGATCGTTGAGTTCCTGCAACCAAAGTATTTTATTTTTTTTCTTGTGTGAATGAATTTTCATTAAAAGAAAATCTGTTCTGTGTGGTGATTTCAGCATGAGGCTGCAGGGATGAGCCCTTGCTTCAAGGGTCTACTTGAACCACTTTATTTCTCATTTCATCATTCCTAGGGGCGAGCTTTGAAAACAGCCTCCTCTTTGGCCGAGGGGCTTTCCCTAGTTGTCCCGCTTGACAACATCCAGATTATATCCCATGAGAATGACAAGAAACTTGTGCACTTCTCTGGTATCCTTAGAACATCAAAGGTAAATTTCCTTAGTCCAAACCTTGCTTCATCTTTTCACATTAAAGTTTTTTTTTAAAAATGTATTGCTTTTTCTGTCTCTTTCTCCCCCCACCCCCAAGTCTTGCTTGTGCTGACTCATTGTGTTGGTGGGGGTTTGTGTTGTTTCTTGGTGGGATCAGCAAAGGACATTGGGAGTGTACTTCAAGAGTATATGTATTCCCAGCAAGGCCACCCAAGCCACAAAGGTCATCCCAGGTGCTGAGCTAAAACAAAATGGCGCCTATAATGAACAGTAGCAATATAAAAAGATGGCAGAGATAGATGAGACGTCAATTAATACTATCCTGGAAAAGGCAATGATAAACCAAGAAAAAGATGGCTGGACTCACGGTGGCGGTGAGCGCAACATTGGGACATGTGAAAGAGCAGGTTAGGGGTAGATTGTCATCTGTCTATACTCTAAAATATGGTTGCTAGGAATCAAAAATAAATTGACACATAATCAAACAATCCTCTGCCCTGCTAGGTTAAGTGACTTGTGGCGAAAAATTAAATGTATCCCCCCACCCACCCACTGTGCATGCTGAACATCTAAGGAAGTCCTTTGTAGATAATAGTTCTCTTACCAACTGATGTTTATTTGCATTTGCTAGCCTCTATATGATCCCAGCTATGGGCTCTCTATCCGGGCAGTCAAGCTCAAACGTCAGGTGGAGATGTATCAGTGGGTTGAACATGAAGATTCCAAGTAAGATGTTTACAGTATTCATGTTTTCTCTGCCTTAAACTGTGTGCATGTTTCTAGTGATGGTGACAGTGGAACAGGTTTCTTTGAATTTTTGTATTTTACGTAATCCAATTTAGGATTAAGAGAAATATTGGCATATTTATTCTTATTTTTACTAAGTGACCTTTCCTTTCTATCCATGGGAAATATAATAATGGTTTGATCTAGCCTCCTGGTATCTATTTTTTCCTCACCTATAACAACTACGGTAGTGATTCAGAGCTATAAAAAGTGAATGAATACAGAACTATGAGTCATTTGTTTCTAGCTGGCTTCTGGGCTTCTGGAAAGAATGAGCAGCTGAGAGGTGATAGGAAAATAACCAGCAGTTGTCATGCCTACAGCACCCTCCACATTTCAACTTGGGTGTGTGATGCCAAACTGTGCTACAGCGAAGCAGCAAGTAGCATGAAACTTGGACTTTTGGCTTTCTTTCAGATTTCTCAGGCCTAGCAAGGATAAGTGTATTTAGTAGATAGCTTATGTAGAAGAGGGAAATTTGCAGTGAAGGTTTGAACTAGCAAGTCGCAGAAGGAAAAGAGGCAGGAGAAATTTAACTTGCCTTTTAGATAAATACATCTTCTTTGTCTAGTTTCATTAATCTCAAATCCCAGTATTTCCCCATGCATTTAGATTAGTTCTCTTATTTGGAAAGTGTTATTATTTAAGCTTTAGACAAGAGAGAGATTGTGCTGTAGTAAGATACAAGAATATAGAGAGGTAGGCAAAAAACATCAAACAATGAACTAATTATAAAGTTCCTTCTCTGGAAAGAAGGCCTGTGTTTTTATGCCTTGGAAATGTTTTACTAAAGCTCTACAAAATCTTTTAAAATGATAGTAATGGGGAGGGGCACTATATGAGGGCATTCACATTCATACGAATTAGTTAAAAATTTGGCTAATTTTAGCTAAAATTATTATTTATAGTAAAATTGTGTAAAGCATGATGGACTTTTCAGTACTTTATGTTCATCTGATGATGTTTTTCCCCCTTCTTGTAGAGAATACGAAGAAGATGGTGAAGTAAAGAAAGAAACAAGATATTCTTACAGTAAGTTTGCTAGTAGAAAATTTTGTCTCATAAAACAGTCACTGGATAATGGCTTTAATATCCGGCACCTCTTCTCCAGCTAGGGAAGAGCTGTCCTTGCAGCTACAAAAAATGATGGTGAAAGTTGTCTGTTGAATGTCTACTGTCATATAGCTGTTATAAGGGAGAACCACTGAAAGAGAAAAAGTTACCAATTTTATCTATGACGTGAACTTGGAACATTATTATTTTTTATTGCATTTGCATTCTCAAGCAGTTAAATCTTTTTAGTTGATTACAAAATGCTGAAGGAAACAAACATATTGTCCTTTTTAGCCAGGATGTTGCATCCGCATTACTGATGTTTATCTTATGACGAGGTTAGCTGAACTTCAGTGCTTGCAGACCACAGAAAGCAAGTTTTCATTGGATTTTATTCATAAAATCATAGAGTTGAAAGGTGGCTTGATAGTAATCCAGCCCAAGCCTGTCCTTTGGGAAGGGCCTGCTTCAAACAGTGGTTATCTCAATTTGAAAATCTCCAAGTGTAAAGGAATGTGAGAATAACCTTGGAAGATGATGGCGTGGAGAAGAGATCCTGCCTTCCTATAGAAGATATATGCTATTTTACTTTTTCTCAGTCTTCTCTTCTGTAGGCTAAATTTACTTAGTCCTTTTAACTATTCCTCACCAGACTCAGTTTCCAATCCTTTCCCCATCTTTACTCTACTTCGTTATTGTTCCTTTTAGACTGCGGTCTAGAACCAGAGTCAATATTAGGAAATTATAGAATGGGAATATTATTTTTCATGATCTGGATTCTATGCTTCTGTTAATAAATCTCAAAATAGAATTTGTCTTGTATTTGTGTCTGTTCATGAACAGTAGAATCCGAGGGGGAAAAAAACCGTAACTAGCATGGGCTTAGAGAAGAATTCTGCCTGTGATGTTCACCAGTACCCATTCCCATATAAGAGCTGAAAAATTATAGGGACAGTGGGAAATATCCATGATCTGTGACTCCTGGGATGTTTTCAAGGAATCAGGATAGTATTCTTCATATTCTTATTTCTTTACTCCCCTTTTAGATACGGAATGGAAATCGGAAGTTGTGAATAGCAGAAATTTTGATCGAGAAATTGGACATAAAAACCCTAGGTAAACTTGATAGTATTCTATACTGTGGCTCTTCCAATATTGTCCTTAGGATTCTAAATTAAGAATCTGAGTAACAAAGTAGCGTTGATTGTTGTGTTGGGAAACACTGGAGTACATCTTTGTGGTGGTTAATAGCTAGAAGATTTGCTAATTCTTTTGTGACTTTGTGTCCACCATGCTAAAATTCATCTGGTAATTCTTTTTGTCTGTGCAGTGCCATGGCTGTTGAATCTTTCACTGCAGTTGCTTCTGATGTTCAAGTTGGCAAGTTCTTCCTTTCCAGGGGTATGAAGCTTGGATCTGAGATATGTCTAAATATATGCATACTAAGATATACTTAACAAGGCAGATAACGGGAAAATCCTCCCAACTTTGTAACATTTGGAAGAGTAGTTAAATAGCTTTTAATTTAAATCATGGTTTTCCAGTTCCCATGGTTTACATTTTATGGAGCAGATCATGAGACAGTATCAAAATATTTCATGGGCTTTTGGATTAAGTACTATGTTCTAAGGCATAGTATAGTTATTCTATGCATGAGATATTTGGTATCCCTATCTGGATGTTAGCTAAGTCTGTCTGTAGGTTCTTAGGTCAGGCATGCTGTTCCCCACCACCATGCCTGCTTTTTCCTTTTTTAATTTGGCATGGTGAGACAGGAGAGTTAAGAAATGGTAGAATTAAAAGCTATTTTTAAGCTGTTGAGTTGAACTTCTGCTCAGTGCAGGAATTCAGCATCAAGCATCTCTGACAAATGGACTTTTAGGGCTGTGCAAGAACACATTCAGTGAAGGGACATCCACTATATTGCTGGGTGGTTGTTTCTGCAGTTTAATTATATTTACCATCAGGAACATTTTTCTAACATTAACCAAGAATCTGTCATTGTGTAATTTAAGGCAGTTATTCCATATCTGATGCTATGGGATGATAGAAAATATGTTCTTAACTTGTGTCTATGTGGCATTCATTTGGGTACTTGGAATGCTATGATATTCCTTCTTGGTGACCATTTTCTTCATAGGAAGAATTTGGAAAGTTTATTAGATGGAATAAAATGAGGAAATTTCTGGCAAGACACCATGAAGGATGACCCTATTTGTTCCAAGCTCTGGCCATGCCCATTTTATGCTATGGGCCTACCTCCTGAAAGAGCACAGCTTCATTGAAGTTTCCCAAATAACTCCATAAGTCTCAGGCAAAAAAATAATTTCCTATTCCTATTTCTACTTTTAGGCCTCATTGAGAAGATTAATAATTTCAAGCAGATGAGCCTATCAAAATTGGAAGATCCTCATGCAGATGTGATCCGCTCAGGGGATTATTTCTTTCATAGTGAGAACCCACGGCGTCCAGAAGTAAGAAATGGAAGAGGAAAATAAACAATTGTTCCCCTCTGCCCCAATCACTCTGAATTGCACTTTTTTACTTGAGCTGAGTTCAGAGACTATGAGAGTCTTGGATCTAAAATTTCCAATGGGAATCTTTAGTTGTCCAACAGTTTTGTGTTGTTGTTTTTTCTCCCTCTTTTTAGGTTGGGGATCTTCGTGTTTCATTCTTCTATGCAGGTTTAAGTGAAGACTTCTCACGCACAGCTCTACCAGATATGGTAAATGTTCCATATTTCTTCAAGACCTTCTCGTGTAATTAGATAAAGCTCTCCAATTTCAATGTGCAAATTTCTTTAATTTCTCATTTGGCCCCTTTTCAGGTGACCATAGTTGCTCGTCAGCAAGAGGATCACTTGGTTCCTTACCAAACCAAATCGGGGGATGTCTTAAATATTCTCTATCCTGGAGAGCTCACAGCTGAGGTAAGGGTTACAAATCAGTAGAGGGAGAAAAGTAGGGAAGAGTTATACATGTTCTATTTGCTTAAATAAAGGAGAACAATTCCCCCCTCCATTCTCTTGAATTATTGCTTAATGGAAGTGTCAAAGTGTAAATCAGCCTCGTTTCCCCCCTGGGGTAATTGCACTTAATTAGAGACGGATGGATTTTGTTTTCCATGCTGTATACTTTAAAGAAAGAAAAACCTAAATATATATATATTCTAATAAGGATTTTATTAAACATAGAAAAACTAGCTAACTACATCTTTACCGGCAGCATATCACACAGACGTACAAAAGAAGAATAAATCAGGAAGTTAGAAAGGAAAGAATGTAGACATGCGCAGTAGCTCAAAGTTTCACAAAAACTAGTCTTATCTCTATTGCTATAGATACGTGATAAAGTTCTCTGGCAGGCTACCGTAACGCTCAGAATGGACGCTCGGCTGACAAACACATAACACACTGACAGGAAGGGCTGTAGCTCAGAGATAAAGCTCATCATTGCAAATAAAACAACTCTTATTCAGTTTCTGGCTGATGTAGCTCTTGATGGCCTTATCCGAAAACCTAAATGGCTAACTTAAATTGGCAACCCTAGTAGGCAAAACTGAGTTTAAGTAAGTGTATCAGTGTAGGTTAACTTCCCTATAAAACTAATTTTTCTCCAGTTCTACTAGTGGAATTTGGTTCTGATCAGTGTAGATGTTTCATTTGTAGACATTTCTCCAGTTCAAAAAAAATGAATGCATTCTCATTTGCGTTTCTCATTGCTTTCTTGCTTTCTCATTTAGCAGCATAGATAATTTTGATGGATTAAAAAGTGTTTTCAGTTTCTGCCAAAAAAAAAGTAATGTGTATAGACAAAGAAAAGACATGAATGTATAATGTTTTGCATGTCAAGAATGGCACAAGGGGCCTTGCAGAGCTTATCAGGGATTGCTTGCAGGGTGGAACAAGAGGAAAATTAGTATGTTCTAAAATCTGTTTTTCTTAAAATTCTACCTGTTTTTCTTAAAATTCATAAATTTTGCCTGTACCTCATTCTTCCATCCATTTTACCCTGTCTTTAAAATATTGATCTGAAGTTCAGCTGCAGTTGAAGAATCATCATAAATGCTCTGATGATGCCATGAGAACAAAATTGACGATATTTCTTTTGTTTTCAACTAATCAAATTAGTTTTAAACATGGTTTGTCAAAACAATTTCAAATTGTTTAGGTTTAGGTTTAGGTTTATTTGATTTGTATACCGCCCTACTCCCGAAGGACTCAGGGCGGTGAACAGCCAACAATAAAATACATAAATACAAAAAATTTAAAAACCAGATAAAATCAAATTAAATCATTTTTGCCCAGACTGATTAAAACACCCCAATAATTTAAAAACAGATTAAAATTTACATATTTAAAAAGGGAAGAAATTAGGCCAAGCCCGCCTGATGGAATAAAAAGGTCTTCACAGCACGGCGGAAGGAGCGCAGATCCGGGATCCTCCGTATCTCCGGGGGGAGCTCATTCCAGATGGTAGGTGCCCCCACAGAGAAGGCTCTCCCCCTAGGGGCCGCCAGTCGACACTGTTTGGCTGACGGCACCCGGAGGAGTCCCTCTCTATGAGAGCGTACTGGCTGGTGGGAGGCTATTGGTGGTAGTAGGCGGTCCCGTAAATAACCAGGTCCTAAGCCATGGAGCGCTTTAAAGGTGGTAACCAAAACCTTGAAGCGCACCCGGAAGACCACCGGGAGCCAGTGCAGCTCGCGCAGGAGATTGTAACCTAGGGTTGTTCAAATAATTTTGAAACCAGCATTCCTCTTAGAATATGTTAGCAGATTATGGAGGGGAGGGGAATAGGTTCAGGCCAGCAGCCTCGGCATTGTGTCCTGTTGCATTGTGTATCCTGCTGATCAAAAGAGTTAGCATGATTGGATGCTGATAAAATACCAAGTATATGACTGGAAGTGCTAACTAAATATCAAATATTTTTAGGAAGTATTTCAGAAGGAACATGAGAGTAACAGCATGAAAACCTGGGGCCTACGTGCAGCTGGATGGTTGTCTATGTTTTTAGGCATCAGCCTTATGACCAGAATTATTCATACCCTGGGTAAGTGTTGCCACTATCCCCCTAGTTTGATTTCTAAATAAAGCATTAATCAAAAGTTGTACTGAAGTACCTTCAGGTCTAAGTGTTTTTCTGGTGAGACCAGTCTTATTAGGACAACCTGGTCTACCCAAATATGGGACGGAGTATACTGCTTCCGCTTTCACCTTCAGGTCTAAGAAACATAGTCATCTAACATGATAAAGAATATTAATAATTGCTGTGAAGCTGAATATTGTTCCTGGGCTCAAATGTTGACTCAGGAAATAAAGATTTTCCTTTCTCATGCTTATGTTAAATGAGTAGTCCAAGGGATAGAATCGAAGGGGGTATTTCAATTGTCTCAATTCTCTAGATGAGATAACTCATAGGAATGTGGGGGAAAGCAATTAGTTATTTCAGCACTCTGTTACAGTAAAGAAGTGTTTCTATAAGCTATGAAAACCAAGTACTAATCAAAGCTAATTAAAGCCTGTGGTTAAGGTGAGAATTGAATAATAATACTATTCTTTATTGCTGAGTGCTGAAAACATACTTAGGTAAAAGTCTGTTTTTTTCTTCCTTTAATGGTCCATAGTCTGTACAGATGAAATTTCAATGAATTCGGTAGGCATTGGATTAGATTTAAAGCAGATACAGTTTGCTTTTATAAGCTTACCAATGAGATTTTTATTTATTTATTTATTTATTAAATTGATTTTTATTTTTCCTTATTGCAGTGGATTGGTTTCCAGTTGTCCGGGATCTGGTTAACATTGGTTTGAAAGCATTTGCCTTTTGCTTAGCCACTTCTCTCTCATTGCTGACCATTTCAGTGGGCTGGCTCTTCTATCGGCCCTTCTGGGCACTATTGATTGCTTTGTTGGCTGTAGTTCCCATTCTGATTGCAAGATCTCGGGTTCCATCAAAGAAACAGCAGTGACATCATGGAAGAAGCACCTTCTTTGTACTCACATTTCTTTGGAAACTTCATACATTCAATGCTTTTATCATATTTGAAGAAAATACCATCATGGATATTTTTGCTCAAAACAAAACACTTCTTTATATTGCAGTACAGAAAATGCACCATCAGCGTGTTCTATAATCATTTTAGATATGTTACTTTCATTATGCAATCCAGGGGTAAGAAACTAAGCATTTCTGAATTATAGCTCCCAGGAGCATGGGTACCATGGTCAGGGGTACTAAGATCCATATATATTTAGACCAGGCCTGCACAGCTGGTAGAAAAGACCACATTGATAAAATAAGTGCAGGCCACAAATAGCAATAGCACTTATATGCTGCTCCATAGTGCTCTGGGCGGTTTAGAGTCAGCATATTGCCTCCAATATTCTGGATCCTCATTTTCTGACCTCAGAAGGATGGAAGGCTGAGAAAACTTTGAGCCCATCAGGATCGAACAGTGGCCCCCAACCTTTTTGGCACCAAGGACCAGTTCCGTGGAGAAAGGTTTTTCCACAGACCAAAGGGAGCATGGTTTTGCATGCTGCCTACATCCTGTGGATGGGGCTTCGCTTGTTGGCACAGCCTGGTTACTGGCATGCCACGGACCGGGGATCCCTGGCCCACAATACTGCATTCTAGCCACTGTGCCACAATGACTCAAAGCAATCTGTGATGTGCCAATTAGTTCTTTGGTGACAGTATTGGAAGTGGCAGTGAGGCCTGCAGGTGTTCGGTAGCATGTCTTTCAGAGTGGCAGTGAATTTATTGACTTTTTAAAGAATGCTGGAATGCGGCATGAAGCTGCTTGGCTGGTCAGATGCTGTGCAGGCCTGATCTAAACATTGACAGGTTTCATACCAAGTAGAAACAAACTTGGAAATAGAAAGTTGAATGAAATGTAAAAAAGCTAAGCAAATTAGGTTTCCTATGCAACTTATGTAAAATGTCTTCCTATCTTCATGGAGAATAGGTATATGGACTCAATGGGGATCATATGAGGCTTTGAAGAGTGAGTAAATCCTTGTCAGATTAATCTATTCCTTATCTATAACTTCATGTATTATAGCTTTACTGCATGCAACTTTTTGAAGTTTTTGTCATATTTCACTTACCTTCATTTTTGTTATTCTTACTATCCTGTTTGAATTCTCACGTAGGTACTTACTTTATCTGTAACACCTTGAATTATACGTGGATCAAAGTATCCTACACCACTCTGGTATTTCTGTGATGCTGTTTATTTTCACATTACTATATTCAGCATTATTGTACCTCAATCTTATGATTTATACTTATCCATGCTTCATTTTTTTTCAATAAGTAAAATAATTTATGATTTCAGGTGGTTTTTTTTTTTACCTGTGACTTGAAAATTGTTTCCTGAACCAACTCAGTAATTTACTGATGGTTTCATGAATTATGATTTTTAAAGACAAACCAAAGATATACCCAAAGGGAGAAGAGACTTTCTGCTGTTCACGTAACTTGCTCCATGGGCAAATTAATATATTTGTTTTTTTACTGAAAAATTATGTAGAGTAAGGTTGGGTACTCAATGTACTAATGGTACTCTGGCAAAAATTTTATTTGAAACCTGCCCAATTTCAGGAAAAAAAAGAGTGTAATACTTTAGAATTGGGTGCTTTAAATCTGTACAACAGTTTGTAACTTTGTTGATTTTGTCCAGACATTGCCTGCTTTATTACAAATTATAAAAGCAAATGAATTCCCTTAAATCTAGGACTGAAAGAATATGTTAACTATTCATACCCAGAATAGGTTTTTTTCCCCTATAGCTTCAATCACTGCTTTTTCTGGGTTCAGAACTGTAAATTGTGCACACAACCTTCAATTGGACTATTTTATAAAAACTCTGAAGCAATCAAAAAGCCAGTGTATACCCCATTGCAAGCCATTGCCAGCAATGAGATGATCCCAAAACATGGATTACATAGAAACCTTTTATATGGATGCAATCTACTATGGTAAGAGACCTAAGCTCTGATATTCTGTATCTAAAATAATTGTCAGTATTATTCTCAGCTCATTATTAGAGGTACATCAAATTAGTCTAAGAGAAACAACTAAACCAAGGCTCTAGAAGTAAAAAAAAGTTCATTAGCATCATCCTGGATCTGCCCTTTTCTTGAATTTAGATTCATTGGTCTGGTGCTATCTAATGTCATTTCACTAAAGTCCAACTACAATTTGCCATGGAGTTATTCATCATTTTGTTAAGATGTCAGTTGAATCACTGGTACAGAACGAAGCATGGTGGCTGCTTCCAACTAATTTCTAAGTTTGTATTCTTTATTTTTAGAATATCATTTGTAAACGTTTCTATGGATGGAAATGCTTTATCTTCTATTTTATGAATAAAACTTCAAGAAAAATATATGATTTGCATGTGTGTTTTGAAATTAGAGTTCAGTATTAAAGGTAAGAGAGTTAAGAATAGGAAGGTACCATTTATGTCTCTTAACTCCTGGGCCACAGCCCACTACTGGGACAAACCAGGTTCGGAACCGATGCTTGCTCTGACATGCGTAGCTCCACTTGCATGAGCAGCAGGCGCTTGCACTGGCACGTGTAGCTCCATTCACACAAGCAGGAGGTGCGTGTGCTGGCATGCGAAGCTCCATTCTCACAAGTGGCAGGTGTTCGTGCTCATGTATGAAGGTCCATTCACGCCTGCGGCTCACACAAATGGAGCTCTGTGCCTGCACAAGCCTGCCACTCGCACAGATCCCTCCCTCCCCCCCAAACCACCAAGCAGGAAAGGTTGGGGACTGTTGATTTAGATCACCAAGTACAAGCTCATGTTTAATGTAGGAATCCAAAATAAAGTGTTCCAAACAGATACCTGCCTAGCCTCTGTTTCAACACATCTGGCAAAGGAACATCTGCCATCTGTGTTAGTTTTCTCCATAAAATGTTCTTACTGCTAGGAAGCTATTTTCTAGCATTCAGTTGGAATCAGTTTTCCCCTAATTTAAAATCAGTTATTCTGTATCCTATATTCAAGAACAAGACCATTCTATACGTGACATCCTTTTAAGTTTTTGAAGAGTGCAATAATTTTTTCCCTTCAATCTTTTCTTACAAACATGTACCTCTATCAATGTCTGTTCATGAGACTTAATTTCTAATCTTTTTAAAGTCTTCGTTCCTCTTCCATTGTGAATCTTTCAAATGTGATACCCAGAACTGGACAAAGTACTTGAGGCAGAGCCCTGACTAAAGAAGGATAAACTGAAATATTCATGTATTTTTCAGATTATTTTTTTAGAAAAGACGTACCCTAGATTTAGAACATTCTAGTTTAATAACTTAAGACATTCCTTGAAAGGGAGACAGACTTCTGACAGGAATATTGCTGCTTATGAGATAATATTTGGAAAGCTTTTCAACTTTCTTGACCCAATGTATAACCGAAGCTAATTCCAGAGCAAATTTCACAATTACTGGGACTGTCAAAATGTTCCTAAGGTGAAAAGGAGGTTCTGAGAGGAAAAACAAACTAAAAATGTTAAGATCTTTAAGAACATTACTTCAGCAACTAAATTAAGTTTTGTTTTAAAAGTTCCTGTTCTTATACTTGTGTATAATTCTGTAAGTTGTTAGCATTTACTGGGGGGAAAAACCCAGCTTGAAATAAACTCAATATATTGCCATTTCAACTTCCAGAACAAGTTAAAAGTGCTGGTTATTACATAAAAATCCACCACAGCAATGGATTGGACTCTATTATGGACAACTTGATCAAGCATAATTCAAACGTTGAGTGGGCCTGTTAAGATTCCCTCTGCATGTGAGGTAAAGACAGTACAGGCTTCCAAGATAGGGCTTCTTAGTAATGGCCTTCACAATTTGGAACATCCTCCAAAGCTACACCTGGCCTGACCACTCTTATTTTCTGAAAGTTCTTTAAAATCAGTTTTTTTCAGGGTGACACTGGCTTGTAGGGAGACTGTGGAAGGTTAGAATATTCCTATTCCAAGAGAAGCTCCTGTGAGATGAGAATCTAATAACGTTGAATATGTAAATGACAATCTTAGGAAAAGGACTGGTGCTCAGGACTTAAGTTTTTATTTTTTACCCAAGATTCAGTATATATTTTTTATCTGAATAAATTTAAAGTGCCCAAATTAGTTCTGGTCAAGTCAAATAGACTAAGCTTATCATGACAGAATATAAACCAAACAATGTACTTCTAAAATTGCTTTCAGTAAGACAACTGCTATAGTTATTTCTTTTGCACAAAAAAGTGGGCATTGGTAAAACATTCAAAATAGCACATTAGGCAGTTAAGTAATTGCACTATGCCTGAACATGTGGCAGACTGCAAGCCATTTTTGTAATAAGCCTCACTTGGACTACACCGTTTACAGTGTCTAAAACTGGAATCTGTCACATGATCAATATACTAAGGTAAGACTCAGAGTTTTCTTGATGATATAGAAGAGGAAAAGGAAAAAGGAATAAATCCAGCTCAGCTAAAAACTACTGGTAGGTATCTTCTACCCAAATGTCCTACCTATACCCATTAATTATACTACTCTACTGTTCACGTTAGTTTCCTCTGTAAAGCTGAATAGAAACTGTTAAAGTTATAGACATTTCCTATCAATTCCCTCACTTATTCCCACCACACTTTTTTTACATATATAATACAACTTAAACCCAGCTTTACTATTGCAACATGTATAAGTACCCATACATGTATGAGTACATGTGTGTATACATGTTCCTTTCATGACTCTTCCTGGAAGCTCGTGTGTCTAGCTTGTTAACAACTTTGCAATAAAATAATTCAAAATTTCCAAGAAAAGGAATGTATTTGCAGGTATTAAGATCTGGCGTTGGAAAGTACTTTGCCCCAACACCAGTGTTCTTGCTTTACCTATCAGCAGCACCTTATAGAAAATGTGTCTATCAAGAATCTAGGAAAAGTAGGTGCCACTGGGCAATATAAAGGTATATAGGCATCCAGCAATGAGTCCAGACCAATTGTCCTGCTTCAAGTCCTGCATGCATCTAGGAATATTAGAAAAACTGGTTGGAAGTTTCCTGAGTTGTTTTAGCTGTTCCTGCTGGCAGAAAAGCTCCTTGTCACAATTTCTCAAACGGGAACAAATGTTTTGCTTCTCCTTTCTTTTCTCTCTTGTTCTTTTTGGTTGTTTTTCCTTTCTCACTCTGCTCCTCAGCTTGTCGATTTTGGGGCCAAGAAATAGCCACATCTTCAGCAAGTGTTTCTGAGTTTGGTCCTCCTTCATCATCTGATGAGAAACCAGACTCCCTTTCCATCATGATTTTTGTCTCATTCTGGAAGAGAAAGAGTTAAAATATTTAACTCATGCTGTGGAGCAATTCTCCTTTTAAGGAGGGCGTTGCAAAAAAACTAGTACTTGACATTATAAATGTTATACAAATCCAAATATACAGAATTTATGTTTTAAGATTTCAACAACCCTGCTGCATCCTACTGCAGGAAAAAAAAGAACCAGCAGAATGCAAACATTATTAAAATACTTTGCATGAAATGCTATGAGAAAAGAGAACTCTTTTTTCTATTATTTTTGCCCCAAAGAACCCACTGTCTGAAATGGATGATCATACTTCTTTCAACAAATAACATATCCTTGACTGTCAAAAGCCACTTAACATTATCATAAGATAGTGCTTTTGATATTCATACCGTTGACAGAATTTATGATTGAACCCACTGTTAAGCATACCTGCAATTCTATTCAAGTATACTCTAAAAGCCCAATTATCCCTTTCTTTCAGATAAACTTCAGATAAACAAGCAAAATATTCAATTTAATATTTATGCATCAAGAAATAATGCCATCACTTGTCATTTCAAAAGTAACAAAAATGTATTATTTTTATGCAGGAAGTACTTGTTCAAATGCAAAGTATGTTTACATATATTTTTTAAAAAGTATTTTACTACAGATTATATCTTCAATGTTAAGAAATCTGTACTAACATTTTGTTCTCCTCCAAAATAGGCATGAACACTAGTGTCCAGACGGCCTTGAATAACTTTAGATTTGTAATCCATATATTACACCAGTGTTTTGTTACCTTGGTAGAAAAGCGCTTCTTTAATCTCTCTTTGATCAGAAGTCCTTTCACCAACAGTTTCCAATTTCCCAGCACTCTCTTCTCCCGCTTCTGTTTTTAAAGTTCACCCAGAATTAAAACCAAAGGGCACATACTCATTAACAGTGCAGTTAGCAAAGTAGCATCTCTATACATTACAGTATTGAAATATCTTTGAATATTAGACGCTCGGGTTGGTAGTTATGTTGTTGGTTTGAGCTCCAAGCTTGGCGATTTGGTTGCAAACATTTCATCCCCATTCGAAGAGACTTCTTCAGTGAGCTTTGGATTGAGCTCATCTATCAGAGCACTGGCCTTTAAATACCTTTCTGAATCCTGGTCTGATTTTGAGTTGTGTGTGATTGGCTGGCTGTAGTTGCTGAATCATAATTCTTGGTTTTAAATACCATCTATGTGATGTAAAAGGGATGCGGTGGCTCAGTGGCTAAGGCACTGAGCTTGTCGATCAAAAGGTTGGCAGTTCAGCGGTTCGAATCCCTAGTGCCATGCAATGGGGTGAGCTCCCATTACTTGTCCCAGTTTCTGCAAACACAGCAGTACGAAAGCATGTAAAAAATGCAAGTAGAAAAATAGGGACCACCTGTTACCTTTGGTGGGAAGGTAACAGTGTTCTGTGTGCCTTTGGCATTTAGTCATGCCAGCTACATGACCACGGAGACGTCTTCGGACAGCCCTGGCTCTTCAGCTTTGAAATGAAGATGAGCACCGCCCCCTAGAGTCGGGAACAACTAGCATATACATGCAAGGGGAACCTTTACCTTTTATGTGATGTAAATTACTGCTGGTATTGTTGTTAGATGTTAGACATCTGAATGACATCATCAGAAGATATCCATCAAAAACACCAGCATTAATTTACATCACACAGACAGTACTTAAAATCAAGGACTATGACTCAGCAACTACAGCCAGCCAATCATACAACCCAAAATCAGACCAAAAATTAGAAAGGTATTTAAAGGCCAGTGCTCCCCCAGATGAGCACAATCCAAATCACACTGAAGATGTCTCCTTGAATGGGAACAAAACGTTTGCAACCAAATCACCAGGCTCGGAGCTCAAACCAACAATGTAACATTACAGTATCTGTGGCAGCCTCAAATAGCCATCAATGGAAATCCAAAACTACACCAAAATTTCCAAAAATACTCTTCTGAGCCTTAATGAGGAAGAAGGGAGGAATTCTACATGCACAGGATAAGATGTGGTAAACAGAGAAATGTTGCAAGGATTGAATCATTGAGGGGAACCTTATAAGAGTCTTATAAGAATGGATGGCCTTCAAAGTTGAAGTGGTAAATTATATAAATTTATTATGGTCTCCAGTTGGTGCTGGAACAACTCCCTTAGTTCTGAATCATTGTAATCCTTACACATTTGGAGGACACCAGGCAAAAGTATTGTCTGCTAGATCTGTAATTAAATTCACCATTTAACTTGGTAATGCTGCTGATTATTAGCTGTTCACCTCTCTCCCCTTCCCCTAATAAAGACTTCAAAGTGATCCTCACCTCCTTTTCCTTCTTTTCCCTTTCTGACTCTTCGTTCTCCCAGGCTTCAACAAGCACTTCTTTGTACTCTTCACAGATTACATAGCCTTCTGTGCTGTGAAAAGGATCCAGGATGTTATTTTGAACAAAACACAATTTAGGGACTTGTGTTTATATGGGCTTAGGGCGGGGCAACAACTTTTGGCCTTCCAAATGTTGCTGGATTCCAATTTATCCTTGGATGGGCAACAGTGAGAGATGCTGAGACTTATATGTCAACATCTGGATGGCTCCAAATTCCCCATCCCGCCAATAGATTAAATGTCAGTCCGCTCAACAACATTTGGGAAACTAGATGGAAACTACACAGGAACCCATGAAGGGATATAACTGTATTCATAAATGAGTAGCTAACAAAACTAGGAAGGAATGTTAATTGCTTTAGCATCCTTACCTGAATGATATGGATATAAAAATATTAAATAAGCAGAGGTAAAAGAGGAACACACTCTACATGGGGCTGCCCTTGAAGAGCATCCGGAAGCTCCAGTTGGTGCAAAATGCAGTTGCCCACATGGTTTTGTGCAGACCCTGGTGTCCACATGTATCATCTCTCCTGCGGGAGCTGCATTGGCTGCTGATTTGCTTCCCGGTGCAATTCAAGGTGCTGGTTGTCACCTCAAGTCCTTCATGGCTTGGGATCAGGTTATCTGAGGGACCATCTCTTGACGGTCACATCTACCTGACTTATCAGAGCGGGGAGGCAGGGAATGTTGCGGTCCCATCCCCGAGGGAGATATACCTGGTGGGACCCAGAAGAAGGGCCTTCCCTGTGGTGGCTACCTCTCTCTGGAAAATCATTCTTCCAGAGATTAGAACAGCCCCCACTCTAATACTCCTCCGGAAGGCGCTGAAGACCTGGTTCTGCCAGAAGGTCTGGGGAACCCAGAGCGGGATAGCCCATTAAATGGCTCGTGTGATCTGCTGTCGCTGGGGTGGGAGATGATTTTATTATTTGATTCTTTTTATTAGTTTTATTGTTTTAAATGTGGTTTTATATTCTGTAAGCTGCCTTGAGTCGCCATGGGCAAATAGGCGGCAGTATTAAATAAATAAATAAATAAATAAATAAATAAATAAATAAATAAATAAATAAATAAATACATACATACATACATACATACATACATACATACATACATACATACATACCAGGTTAATCCACCTTTGTGAAAGTGGATGGTAAGGAAGGGAGCAAGTGCTGAGCTCTTACTATTTCGGACTAAGCAACTAAGCTGTTAATTCTGCTTTTCTGTAATATTATCACTAACCACGTATGCCAAGTAAATCCAATCTAACGGTATTACTAAGTAGTACATAGGACTATTGTATATCCTAGCAAAACCAGATCATAAGTTTATGACTTACACAGGATGAGAGTAACCACCATGAAAATCAAATCCTGTAACAGCTGGAACACAGTCAATATCTAGTTTACGGGCCACTCTATGAAGGCTAGGAAGGTTTAGCTGCACACAGCCTATTGGTAACATGCAGGGTTGGAAGAGATAGACGTTCCCAAACTCATTCCGAGGAACCTAAAAGAGAAGTGGAATGGGAACAAAATTGGAAAAACTTATACTGAAATAAACTCTGAGGGAGAATAGAGTTTAAAACCTACCCAGTCTACCTAATTGCCAGCTTACCCTTCCATCAACAGCCAGAGGTGGCTGGTATTTCTCAGTCTGCCAGAGACCAAACAATGGCAAATCCATTTTGTCCCGATTTGCAGGTTCTACCATTCGTGCTTTTCTCGCTTGGTTGGAATAACCTTTCACCATCTGTGCAAACACAAAGAGTTTAGAGTGTCGTCATCATTCTTGCTCATAATACTCAACACAATTATCACAGCCTCTTCCTCATGGAGAAACATGTAGGAGTTGGCTGTGTGTATCAAGAGGTTGCCCATCTCTTTAGGAGTGAGAAGTATTTAATCTTCCACTATCCCCCTCACAGTATTTGGCCACAATCCTTTAATTTGTCCCCAAAGAACTTTTTTTAAAAAAAAAAAAGTTATTCAGCTTCAAAAGTTTTATATATAAATATTTCCTGCCACAAATTTCAACATTAGCCCGAAAATATTGTTGATATCACTCTACCTTGTAAGGCACTTCCCCAATCCTCACCACTCGAGCTTGTTTTAACCAGGTGTCCTTGGAGTGCAAGGTATGGATACAGTCTCTGAAATTACCCAAATAATATCCTTGGTAAATAATATAGCGTCATATAGGTAATATTCACAATAAACTATGTATTAGGTAATATGTGTAATATACAATAAAGAACAATATACAAAATGGTTCACTTTCCTCTGAATGCTTAGAAGAAATCCCCATACTGTGTTTAATGCAGGGATGGGGAAGACTAGGAAAAAATAAGCATAGGTGGACTTTTCAAGCAGAAAAACAGGTTTCATGGATGTACTCTGAGTAGCCCCATCGAAACTCAAACCTCGTTACAGAGAGGGGGAGGAAAAATCAGATTCATTTTAGGAGGGAAAAGCCAAGGGATGAAAGGGAACTGGCTTCATATCCAAAAACACCAGATCTGCCCTTCCTATATAACTTGTATAAACAAGCTGTGGCTTCTACCGATGGACAGCCAAGGCTCTTTTAGGCCTCAAACAGCCAACACAGGCCTCACTTTTTCAATGAAGCTGAGTAGATGGAAATTTCTTCTGTGCTGAACTGCACCCTTGAAATTCAATCAAGTTTGGGAATAATCATCCCATGCCAAGTTAGAGAAGGTAACTCTCTGTACCTTGATAGATGAATAACATTCATTGTGAGGAGTGCAAACATGGATCCTTGTTTAAATGTTCAAAATAAGAGGAAGTAAGGTATTGCTAGTGGGACAATGTGATGATCCCAGACCAGTGTACCAAATGAAGCTGTGTTTCATGGCATACACACCTGAGAAATGTCTCACCTGGAGTAGACAGCCTCCCCTCGGCAATATCCTAGAATTGAAGCTGTCTCAGGATATATGGCCTCATACTTAAGGAGATGCCTCTTCAAGGCATAAAGCGGATGATTCTTGTATTCTGTGACGGAGTTTGGCAAAGGCTGATCTTGAAGTGTAGCTACAAACTGGGAATCATGTTATTACCAGTAGAATATAGAGGAAACCAATTACAAATATATTATTCAGCTTTTGGAAGACTAGATATAAGACAATATTGAGTCCTGGTATATTAATCCTGCCTTAATGCAAAGCTTTGCATTTAAATAACTAGTGGTATTATAGACATTATCTAAGCATCATTGGCAACCCTACTTTTCCCGGAAGGGATCTCAATTTTGCTTGCTTTCACTGTGTGGATTATGCTGGAAAGTACAATAAGGAGTTTTTGTTCAAAGAAGTACGAGAGACCAAGTCAGCTAAAACTATTTCTGGTATGAACTTGCCCAAGTACGGATATATTAGAGGACTTCTTCTATGTAGTTTCAGACTATAGATTGGTCTCCTAAAGATGTGCATTTGGACGCCACTTTCTAGAATTTAGGAAAATGTAAAAATTTATCTCTTCCCCCAAGCTTGTTAATTCATTTAATTGTACTTATTCTAATATCATCTTTTGTATACTTTGTAGTTTTATTCCAATTAATTTCAGCTTCCATAGTGCTTATACAAACATAAAGGTGGGGAATAAATTTAATCAATCAGATGCAGTACAATTGAATTAAAGTATCAATCCACTAGAGTTTTGCTGAAGATAGAACATATATGTCAGGTGACATCCAAACTGAAAAACAAAGAAATAAATACAAACTAAAGAATGTTGCTCACTTGATTGTTATATACAATTTCTGAGGTCTGAACACTTCTCATTTTCATCAATGGGAAGATGTCTTTGAAACTTGAGACTGTCTAGGCATTTGCCTCTTAATGGTTATATAAGCTAAATAGCCAGCATACTGAGGAACATTTAAAGAGGACACTTCACAAGCTCTGTTGTCATTCAGCCAAGAACTGACTTGAACGGAAACTGAATAAAAGCACACAACATCTGAGTTAGTGGGTAAACCAAGAGGAACAGATTAGTTGAGATCTTGGATGAAAAGCTGACCAAGATAAAAGGAGAGAGTTCCATGTTTTTGCAACCTAAGGATCTAAACCTATTAGAAAAGGATAAAGAATATTCGAATCCTTCTGGGTGTAATTTTGATTACTGGAAAAATATCCTCCTGTTCCATTTTATTTACCTCTCTTTCTTCTTTTGCATCTCGTTCCACAAAAGAACTTTTGTACGGCTCCAAGGTATCTTCCCACCACTGGGCATCCACACGACACTTCCTCGTTGCAGTCATCCATGCTGGGTCGTATCTCTGTGTTACATCTTTTACAAATCCACTGTTGTCAATGCCAATGATGTAGCACACTGGCTTTGAGGCGTATTTGAAACATTCCAGAGGGTGTCCAACATTGCCATGCATGCAGTCCACACATATCCACCGGTCTTCTCGTTCAAGAAAAACCTCTACCCAATGGTCCGTGCCTCTCGATACAACTGGCCTCTGCTCTTCTTCTTCATCACTAGAAATTATTTTGTTTTTCTTCTTGGATGAATTTGAAGAACATGGACTGACCATTTTCTCTACCGAACTACCAGTTATCTCTGAATCCTTGTGTCTTTTCGACACAGAAGGCATGGATTGTTGCTTGTTAACAATTGCTTTTGTTTTCAGGGTTCCTAACGTTGTTTTAGGGGCTCCTAGTGGTGACTTCAGTTTTTTTCTGGGAATTTCAAAATCCTCATCAGATATGCTGCCATCATCATTTTCCTCTGTAGGACAGAATTCAGAATCATTATCCTCACTGTCTCCACTCTCTTCTTTATAGGACACTTTTGATGCTACTTGCCGTCGTCGGTCATTTTTAGGCCTTCCCAGCCCTTGTTCCACCCTCAAACTCTTCTCATCATTCTCAGATTTTATATCTTTCTGAATATCTTCCTGTGTTGGAGACTTCTTTCTTAGTCTTTTGGCCCTGGAGAGGCTTGGCTTCTTAGCAGTATCTGCTCTTGTGCATTGTCTTGAGCTTTTGGCAGAATTGGGCAATGTCCCAGAAGCTACCGAAACCTTCTTGGAGGATTTTCCCTGAAACAAATATAAAGGAGAGATGAAGATTTTGAGAGGCAAAAGTAGAACAACAACAACAAAAATATGAATAGCTCCACTGAATTAAAATTCTAATTGCTGAAATGATCTGTTCTTAAGATTATATTGGCTATTCACTTCTTGCAACCCAAAATGAATTACAGTGCATTGGTGGAGATGCTGGATCTGCGGATTGTGCTGTTTGTTTCACTGGCGCAGGGAGTCTGTGTAAGAAAACTCTACCACCACCACTTCTCATCTTTTGGGGCTTTTATGATGATGAAGGACTACAAATCTGGACACCTTTTAGTTCTTTCTCTCTTAATGTAAGGACTAGAAACACATTTATCGTTACAACCAGACTGCTTCCCTTTAAAAACCATGCATTATGTCAACCTGCAAAACGACTTCAGTTGAAGCCACACTTATTTCTGCTCCATTTCTTGATTGCCATTCAGGGGGGAAGGGGAGGGGGAGTTCAGGAATGCGGTGCCTCAATCGGCTAGCCATAACATCTACCAGCTGGCGTGAGAACCAAGGTCATGTCAATGGACACCTGCTGAAGCTGAGTGGGAACCTACATCTGGACTGATTGGCCCATGTGACCTGAGAGCAGTGGTGGGCTGCAACCGGTTTAATAACCAGTTTGGTGAGTGTGCGCTTGTGCGCAGCGTTCAAAATACAACAATTTGAAGCTCAGCTGCTTACCTTCTAAGGTAGCCCCGGTAAGTAGAACAGCGGAGGCGCAGAAATAAGCTGTGCCGCGTGAATCAGCTGAGCCAGAAAGAAGGAAATATAGGACAGAGTAGGGCAGGGTTAAGGTGGGCGGGCCAGCTGATTAGATCACTGCCTAAGAGACAAAGGGGGGTGGGGAGGTCTCATTCTTTTAAATAATCCTAAGCGCGGAAATAATTTAGAGCTAGCTTCAACTTTCTAAGTGCCGATATGATGTACTCAATAAAGGATCTCTTCAACCTGAACAAAGCATCAGAGTTCTGACTTCCCTGAGTTCATAACTCGGAATGATGACACATAATCTATGTAAACCAGTTCTATTGTTCAGACAACTTTCAAACTGCTAGGTTGGCAGAAGCTGGGACAAGTAACAGGAGCTCACTCTGTTACACAGCACTAGGGATTTGAACCGCTGAACTGCCGACCTTTCGATCGACAAGCTCAGCGTCTTAGCCACTGAGCCACCGTGTCCCTAAGCACACTCATAAACCTAAGGTAAAATATTAAAAATAGACACCAAACAGATTTACTATAAAGTAAGTTTCAGGTTGTTCGGGAAGGACTTTCTCCTGAAAAAAACACAGTGACAATTTTTCCATACTGACCTTCCCTGATGGCTCTTTCAGAGGAATGGGTTGTAAAGACAATACAAGCCGGCACATTAGATGCAGTGCTCGAAGAATAAGTAAAAATATCTATTGGGGGAAAAAAAAACAGTTTGGAATCTGATTTTTGTACCTCTCTTTCCCCTGTTCAGTGTTAATACTATTTACCCACAGGACAATTGCTACAAATGTTTTGAAAATAAAACACGTATATAATTTGTATATAATATGTAAAGTATGTTCCCCTGCCCTACAATTATGACAATTGAAGCTTTAATCTTTTTTCCTAGTGCCATGAATGCTAAAACTGCTGCATATGTGTGTATTTGTGTATATGTGTGTGTACAGATATACTGTACACTCAGGTTCACACATGTATAAAAGGTAAAGGTAAAGGTTCCCCTCGCACATACATGCTAGTTGTTCCCAACTCTAGGGGTGGTGCTCATCTCCGTTTCAAAGCCGAAGAGCCAGCACTGTCCGAAGACGTCTCCGTGGTCATGTGGCCGGCATGACTAAATGCCAAAAGCGCACGGAACGCAGTTATCTTCCCACCAAAGGTGGTCCCTACTTTTCTACTTGCATTTTTTTACGTGCTTTCGAACTGCTAGGTTGGCAGAAGCTGGGAGAAGTAACAGGAGCTCACCCCGTTACGTGGCACTAGGGATTCGAACTGCTGAACTGCCAACCTTTCGATCAACAAGCTCAGCATCTTAGCCACTGAGCCACCACATCCCTGCACATATATAATGTCCAATAAATTCCTTGTATAATGTCCAACAAATTCCTTGTATGCTATGCTCAGCATAAAAACAGAATTTCCAATGATTACATCAACGGCTAAAGGAGCAAGATGTGTATAGAAATCTCCGGAGGTCTGTCTTTCTTTTTGTATGTGAAAAATACAGCCTCTACCTCCCTCACATTATCCTTCCTATGATTACAACATAGCAGGGATCCAGCATGCCTTGCAAAGCCTTCTATCACTTACCTGCACCAGTTCCGCCTCATCTCGTGCAGCATAGACAGCAAAACGCTTCTCTATAGTAACCCGCCAATCTTCACTGTCGGAGAGCTGATTGTTAATAGTGAAAGTTGCAGAAAACCTTTATTTTAAAAACAAGAGAACCATAATTTATTTATTTGCCTAATCCCATGGGAGCTGGAATAGACGGTAGGGAAGCTATCTCAGCCTTACAGTCAAACTAAAAAGAAGACTCCTTCACACTTACTTCCTTATTCTTGGACTAATCATAGTCACAGAAAGCCAGATTTTCCACTGTTGGACCCTAACTTTAATTAAAAAAGAAACGGAAAAGGAAAAAAAAACCTTACCAATTCACAAGATTTGACAGAAACAGACGGTTGATGCGATCTACGGAGTCTTTGGTAAAGCGAATTGGAATGATAGAAAGGCCAATCGCTTGAAGATCTGGCTGAAGGCAGATCCTGTTCCTATGGAAACCGTTGGCCAATAGGCACAATAAGTGAACCTGTTGGGAAAAGGACATGGATTTTAAGGAAACAAGCAGCCTTAGGGTACATCAGAGATACTGAAGTGATTTTTACAATTCAAGGGACAGGCCAATATAGGCCAGATCCATTCAGCTGGACCCAGCTCTACTCCCCCCACAACACCTCACTGGTTGACAGGAAATATACATTTTAAGCATCCCAATCATCCATGTCACTGTACCAGTTAATTCCTGTTAAAAGTATCTTGTTCCATTCTTTAGTCTAGGCATCCATCATCATTTCGTGGAACAAGACCGGCATTTGGGCTTTCAATGATATGCTGGGGCTAACCTCCCCCCAAATAAGCAGGGGCAGGGCAAACTATAGATGTACACCTCAATTTTATACGTAATTAATTAATTATCATAAGTAAGTCATTACTCCTCATACATTTAACAATTTCTTCTCATCTCCATTATATTAAATATTAGAACTGGATGGCAGCATTTGAAGGAGCTCCCAGGGCCAAGGTTTTGGGGAGCTGGTAGTGCCTCTGAGGTCTCACACTGCACATCCCTACTTTCCAAGACTGGGGGAGAGGGGGAAGGAAAAGAAGAGGAGGGAGAAGAAAAAAGGAAATAAAAATGCATATTTAGGGAACCACTTGTAGAGTTACAGTTCTTTCGTGCCCAACTGGAGTGAACGTTCTGCTTTCAACCAAGGGGTGAAATAGCCTTATTTCTCTACCCTCCTTGGATTATATACATTCATATTTTTATATGAATTTCATAGACTTCTAGTATGCATGGTAGATGGTAATATAACCCTCAGCCCTTAGCTAATACATATTCCAGGCCAAACCCACCTGTTAAGTTTGCAGTGTTAAAGTATGCACTGAGACCAAAAAGGGTTTTCCTGCATTGTTCTAATTATATCATGATGTATTGTGAGAGACTACAGGAAGTTAATATTCTCTGCCTCAAGTCTTATGATGTTTCCAGTGTCACAGAGTTGAATTTTAACTGAGTATCAGTTTGACAGTTGGTTTCTTTTTGAGGCTGTATTTACATCTGCTAGTGTTTTAACTGCTCAGTTTATTTTTAAGATGCATGTGGCAGTTGAATACAAAAATGTGGTTTTAAATTTGCATTTACAGATCATTCGCCACTCTGAGCAAAGCAGCTGCACTAAACAGGCTTCTCAAACAAAATTCAGTTTTATTACAAAATATGCAAAAGTAATTAATACCTTGAGTTATGTTTATTGAGTGCTAACTTAAAATACTGTTATATACACAGGAACCTTTTTTTAAACTCCTTCCAAAATTCAGGATGCTATTTTCCCAGTAACAATATATTTAATTAGTTTTTGGAAATTACTAACGTATATACAGTAGATGAGTAGTATTTATTTATTTGTATTCCCTCTTTATTATTTTTACAAATAACTCAAGGAAGCAAACATATCCAATACACCTTCCTCCTTCTATTTTCTCCATGACAACCCTATGAGGGTTGTCATAGGGAGAATGATAGTCTCAAAGTCACTCAGCTGACTTTCATGATTAAGGTGCGACTTTTAATCGCACGGTCTCTGCATTCTAGCCGAGTGCCTTAACCACTAGTCCAAACTGACTCTCTTATGTTCCTCCGTAATGTTCCTCCAATAGTAAAAACTGTTCAACTGTGAAACAGTTCTGAAACATTCATACACCAATAAGCTCACCTTTCAGAAATTTGATTATGCCGAGCTGGAAGATTACTGATCAGGAATATTTTAATGGCATACTGCATTGTAAGTCTTGCACTGAACAGGGGCTTGATTAGACAGCAATAGCAATAGCACTTAGTCTTATATACCGCTTCACAGTGCTTTACAGCCCTCTCTAAGCGGTTTACAGAGTCAGCATATTGCCTCCAACTATCTGGGTCCTCATTTTACCCACCTCCAAAGGATGGAAGGCTGAGTCAACCTTGAGCCTGGTGAGACTTGAATTGTCAAGTTGCAGGCAGCCGGCAGGCAGCAGAAGTAGCCTGCAGTACTTCACTCTAAGCACTGCGCCACCGTGACGCCACCATTAGATGGTCCTAACTCTTCAAGTATCTTCAAATTTAATTAGTTTCATTGCCAGGGTAAATTGAAAAATGTAATAATTCAGATAATGAACTTTGCCCCTAGAAGTCTCCCAATTTTCTGACAACTTAACCCTAAAGATCAAACCTTATGGGTATCTTCGCGGACTTCTTTGCTGAAGCGTTTCACCATTCGACGAAGATATATCTCAAACTCAGCTTGCCGTTTCTCTCTGCAAGATTTCATGTAAACCAAATCAATGAGTTCTATTTAATTATTTTATTTATATCATGCCTTTATTATCTTTAGAAATAACTCAAGATGCCAAACATACCTAATACTCCTTCCTCCTCCTATTTTTCCCATAATAACCTTCCTGTGAGTTTCTAACTTAATGCCAAACTGACTCTATGCTATAATGACTTTAGGATCTCTCTCTCTCTAACTAAGCCCCATTTTGTTGTCCCTGAAGGCTCTTTCAAAAATGGTTGCTGGAATCTTATCCGCCAGAAATACATGAAAAGAACAGCAAAACCTCAGGAAATTTTTTTAAAAAAAATCACAGTTCTGATTAATGGCATAAAGCAGTTCTCCATTTCCTATCACCCTCTTAAAAGTGGACAGTCCTCAACCCAATCTAGATTTTGAGCAGTCATTTATAGCAAGAAACCTCAAGGATCACTTAACATATTACAATTTGTCAGAAGCTTTACACTATATGTTACTACTGGTTGTGTGAATTCCTTTATTTGGCAATATGTAAATTGCTTCCTAATAACGTAGGAGTCAATTACAGGTAGTCCTAGATTTACAATTGTCTGTTACAAGAGCTTTGGAAAAAGTGACTTATGACCTCTCCTCAAAATTACAACTATCACATCACTCTCATGATCATGTGATCATCAGTTGGGTGCTCGGCAACCATCTTGCATTTAGAATAGTTGTATCATCTTGCATCCACATGATCACAATTTGTGACCTTCCCAGCTGGCTTCTGACAAGAAAAATTAATTGGAGAAGCCAAATTTGCTTAATGGCCACAGTAAAAATGGTTGTAAAATTTGGTCTTGCTATATGATGACTTGCTTAACAAACACATCGCTAAGCAACCAAAATTCTGATCTGAATTCTAGTCAAATGTCAAGACAATACAAAGTAAAATGTAACAAGGCATGATTGTAATAGCCAAAAATAAGGACAACACAAACAAAATATCAATGAATGTTACCAAAATCCTAAGCAAGAAGAACCGATTTTTCTTAATCTTAAAACTACATAAGATTCATAATTATAAATAGCAAAGGTATTTACAAAACTTGGAAAAAAGAGACCATAGCAAAAACTCAGAAAAATCTTTTATATAGACTCTCTTCCTCTAAAAGCCAAATCAATTGTGAAAACCCCAAATATTATTATGTTATTTATTATTATTTTAAATTGATGGGCCACCCAATTCCATTGGGACTCCATCCCATATGGATGTCTGCCTACCTTCTCTCTCTTTTCTTTGCTTGTTCAGGTGTTTCAATTTCTATCTCAACAGTTGGGCTGGGCAGCTTTGGTGCCTTCGCTTCTTTCAGCATCTCGATCTCAGGTTCACAAAGTTCTGAAAACAAAGGTTTAAATCTAACCAATGTGTCTCACAGTTCCAATTCAGCGCTGCTTCCCATATGGTTTCAATGTCAGAAAATTAAGATACATGAAGGCATAAGATATGATAATTTATGAGTATTTCTGAATCACATATTTTGGCAACATAACATAAACAGTATGTGCCTATCAGTCTAACAAATATTTTGCCTATCAATCAGGTAAATATCACATTCTTTTATGAGTCACTCTTCCCCAACTGGGTGCTCTAATGGACACTACTGGCTTTGCTGGTTTGAGTTTTAGGAAGCTATATTCCCAACATACCTGTAAGACATCAGATTGGACAAGACATTTATAAATGTCTGTTATGGCACATAACCCATGTTACATTGGAAATCTAGTATTTAATGCAATATATGAGCCGAGGTGGCGCAGTGGTTAGAATGAAGTATTGCAGGTAATGCTGACTGCTGACTCCCAGCAGTTCGATTCTCACCAGATTCTCAAGGTTGACACAGCCTTCCGTCCTTCCAAAGTCGGTAAAATGAGGACCCAGATTGTTGGGGACAATATGCTGACGTGTTCTGCCCCAGCTATGGACCCCAAAGAACGCAGCACACACAAAGTCCATTCAAACCTTAGTTTACTAAATAAACCAGTTTTTTACAACAACAGCTGTTAATTAACTGCATTAACAGCCGCCAAGAATTCAAAGAATAATACTGAAAGCTTACTGTGGTTGGCAGAATGCCCAGAAGCAATTTGCAGGAAGCTGATAAGCAAGACAAGTCATGAAGGTATGTGAACGGAGTTGTTCCCTGCAAATTGCTTCAGTTGGCGTTCCTCCTTAAATAGGCTAAGGGAGTGGCCAATTAGCCCCAAGCCTTACTCTCGAGGAGACCTCCTCCCGAGGAGCCATTCCTGCCTTTTGGCAGCTCTGCGCGCCCGTGCATCGAGAAGAGGCTCCTCCTCTTCCTCCTCTTCACTTAAGGGAGCTTCTGGAGGTTCTGAAGGCCCTGGCTGAATCCCCACCCCGGCACCATATCTTCTCCAGCCTCCTCATTGTCCGATCAAGTACCAGCTGCACAGGCTGCTGGCGCAGCACCATACCAGCCTCCTCGCTGTCGGAATCAGCTACTAGCTGCACCGGCCGCTGACGGGCCACAACATGACGTTGTAAACCACTTAGAGAGGGCCTTGTAAAGCACTGTGAAGCGGTATATAAGCTTAAATGCTATTGCTATTTCCTTCTGTTTTAACACCAACCCAACAGCCATGTCCAGCCCATAAGGAATCATTATTAAATGAGGTAATCCTTTTGTTCAGCATAGAAAATAATGATTATAGAAATGCTGTACGTAAAATATGGGTTCACCTTTCACTTATTTCTAGATTTCTAAGGATTTTTATGAGGAGAAACTAAGCACAGTTCACCATCAGAATGAATTTACTATATGTAGTCCTTGATTTATAACCATTTATTTAGTGTCTATTCAAAGTTACAACAGCATGAAAATAGTGACTTATGACCAGTTCTTACAGTCACATATGACTGTTGCAGTATCCCTTTGGTCATGTGATCAAAATTTGGGTGCTTGGCAAATGGCATTTATTTACAATAGTTGCATTCTCCCCTCGTCACGTGATCACCATTTGCAACCTTCCCAGCTGGCTTCTAATAAGTCAATAGGGGAAGCCAAATTTGCTTAACATGAGTCACTTAACCACAGCAAAAAAGTCATAAAATCAGATACGACTCACTTAACAACCACCTTGCCTAGCAATGGAAATTCAGGTTCCAATTGTGGTCATAATTCAAGGACTACTTGGATACATTTTTCATGCTTCCTCCCCCTTTTACCATCTTTTTTCATTTTTAATTAATCAATTTATTGTACCATCTTAGCTCAGATAAATTACAACTAGTGGAAACAAATCACAAAGTGGTTATTGTAATGGAAAAAAATGGGTGGTGGGATTACTACGCAGATTGTCTTTAGTTCCCAATTAAAAGGTGGGATCTAAATTATTTTTATTTATTTTTCACATTTTTAACCACCCATCTCTCTCAAAAGTTCTAAATTTAATAAATAAGAAAGTTGATTTAAAATTATTATTTAAAACAGTGCTATGTTTTCATTACTTATATCTAAGGATGATCTTTGTGAAAGAGAGGGTTGACATGCTAAATGAAAGTTTCAGCCACATCAACTTCCAAATAGTTCCTTCATCTTATTTGCAACTGAAGAAACAATATATATCTATAATTCACTTATTTAATTACTCTGCAACACCTGAGAAAAAGCTTTTTTTTAAAAAAAAAAAAAAAAAAGTCAACCAGGCTCAGAGAGGCATAAAAGAAACACAGCATTCAATAGATCTGTGATAATCTTTGGACAACTTCAATATGAAAATAAGCATAAACCACAAGAAGCTAAAATAGCCATCACTAAATGAGACAAATGGCTCATATAGCAGAAAATGAAAAATATGTTACCTTCCACATCTTCCCATTCTTCCTCACTTTCCTCATCCTCATCTTCTTCTTTCTTTGTAATAATTAATTCTTTTTTTGCATCTGTTTTTTTCTTTAAAGAAGATCTCTGCGAACCACTATTGAATTCAAAAAGAAATATACTATGATATTTTTTTCTTGTCTCATGTGCTCTGCATTGCTTTCCCTGATACGATTCACACTGGCAATAATATTAACCAGTTTATTACTTTAGACAACATAGCAAACTGTGTGTAACCAAAGCAAAAAATAAAAACCTCTAAATTCATTATAATCATTGCAAGATGGAAAAAGGTACAAAACTCGGATGAGATAATTAATGCTTCAGGAGACATAAACAGACCTCCAAAGAATCTTCACAGGTTAAGTGGGAAGAAAACTGCGTGCAATTTAATAGTTACAAATGCAGTATTCTACACTTAGGAAAAACAAATTTAATTCACAGGCATAAGATCAGGAGATATCTGCTTTGATAACATTTAGTGTGAAAAAACCACTGCAGTTTAAACTTTGGCAAATAAAAGTTCCAATACATTTTGCATTGGTCAGAATCTGCTTTGAAGTACTCTGTTCAGTTCTGGATACATTTTAAGAGACTATTCTACTTTTGAGGAAAAAAACAGAAGAAGAGAAAAGATGATAAGATAAGAAATTACGTCTACTGAGGAGTGACTGAAGGGATTAGGTACATTAGTCCTGAAAAATGGCAACTGAGAGGGGATGTAATGGCACTTTCCAAGTATCTGAAGAAATGACATACCTCTTCAGAACATCTAGTGCAGTACTATTATCTATCTTTCCAATGGTCTGTAATTCCAGAAAATATAAGATTCTGGTTACTTTTTAGGCAACTTTTATATGCCAAAAACAGTAAGAGCAGTTTAACAACAGCAAAAACACACCTGCTGGGGTCCTGTTTTCTGTATTCAAGCAGAAGCTAAAATTTATTCTGGATTCCCACACTAAGTAGAGGGTTGCACTAGGTAGCCTTAATGGACTCTTTCAATTCTAATAATTTGTATGTATACCTTGAAAATGTCTACCTTTAAAGTTGCTTACCTGCGTTTCCCCGCTTTTGGAAGGAAGCCTTGGCTTTCTATACTTCTGTTCATTTCCTCCTTGACTTTGGATTTTGGTCTTTTTTCATTGGAATTTTTACAAAGTGTCTGAGGGACATGCTCTTTTTCTCTCTTTTTTCCAGATGACAATTTGGGCCTAGTTTTCTTCTCAGGTTTTTCATCTTCAAATTCATCTGTATCAAAAATGGAGAAAATTGCCAAAAAAAGAACAAAGAAAGAAATCACTAGGGAAAAGTAAGTAGATTATAGATTTTTAGTGGAACTTTTTAAAGCAAAAGCCCACTTAATTTCCAATTATCTTTTCAAAATTAAGCTGCAAGGATTTGCAAACTAACTGAGATGCTTCTGCTTTAGGTATGTAGACAAGCAGATATTTTTTTTATTCAATTCAACACACTCAGCATTATAAATGAACTTTAAAACTTTGTATTAGTGACAAAATCTTTTTTTTAATTCTCCTTAAAGTTTACTGAATATCCATGGTGCATTAACAAAACAAGGGCATCATAACTCAATAGCCCAATCAGCAGAAAGCTATATCCCATTCTGATAGAATAAAGAAGTGAAGTCAGCCTTTGTTTTCACTCTTCAGAAAAAAAAGAGGAAAAAAAAAAGGAATTACACAAGGTCCTTTCCATGACACATTTAGTAATTTTTAAGCATATATTGGCGACAAAGAACTGCGCACTTACGTAACCACAACAGTAACTCTACAAAGAAAAGGAGAGCGCCATTCGAAGTGTGCTTTAATCACGTGGCACAACAACTCGAGCTTCATTCACAACTTCATTCCGCACTACACTATTACACTTTAGCGTTTATTGCATGTACCCCCAGAAAAGCGTCTTAAATGTATAACTGCAGAAACGGTTATTTTAAAGGGGAAAAAAAATTAAAAGAGCTGGTCAACAGTACTGGGGAACTTTCTCTAACCATTTTTTTTTTTTTACATAAGCGTTGCATAAGAAGAGAATTCCGCCCGAAGCGATCCAAGTTGCTAACTTCGCGTCGAATTGAAATTATTATACCATAAGAGACGAAAGAAGGCGTGAAATCTACCAGGACCGAGAAAAAAAACTGTTTTAATTACAGTTGCTCCTTTCCGACTCTGAAATATAACTTTCCAGGCTGTCCCCCAGCTCCCCAATCAACATACTCATCCTCAAGATCTGACTTGTTTTTTTTACCGTCTCGCTGCTCACAAGTTTTCAGACCCGGGGAAGAGGAGGAGGAAGAGGCGGCGGCGGCTGAGCCCTCTCCCTTGACTTTCTTGCAGGACCGCTGCACCTGCGAGACCCCTTTACGCTTCCCGACCATCCTGGCTGCTATTCCGCGAAAGAAAACAGCCCGATCCGCCGTCACCAGGCGTCGGCGGAGCCCCGAAGGTTGAGAACCGCAACTAAGGGAGGCAGTAGCCCGGGCGGTGCCAAAGAAAGAGCCAAAGCGTCTCTTTCGGGCTTAGCGCAGGGCGTTAAAGGTGGGTGGCCGCGCCTTTTACAAGCCGCCCTCCGTTATTCTCCGCTTCTCGTAGGAGGCAAGCAAGACAGAGCCACGCCGGGACCTCTCCCGGCTTTCCGTGGCGCCTCCCCCCTTGACGTCCCTTCCGTGCCGGCAACTCCGGAGAAGTTGCGCTGCAGCGGACCGGAGAGGCTCTCTGGCTTGTCCTCGCGAATCGCTGGATTTACTCCGGATCGAGCTGACTGGCTGCGCTTCACATCTCTCTCTCTTTTGCATCTCGGCTCCCTCGAAGAGGAAGCGTAAAAGCGCTCAAGCTTCACGCCCGATCTATGAATATTCATTCATACGGGGCGGTTTTGAACCGGGTTCAAAGGGAGATGCATTAAAGAACGGGCTGAGGCGGCTTGGTTTCCACCAGCCTTGTTTTATGTGTGAACTCAGCCTGTTCATCTATCCCAGCGTCTGTGGAGATTCTCAGTCATCCAGGTCAGGGGTCTCCAACTTTGGCAACCTTGACTTCAACTCCCTTTTTCTGATTTTGTTTTTCTGATTTTTTTATTCCCCCCCCCCCCGGGAGTTGAAGTCCGCTAGGCGTAAAGTTGCCAAAGTTGGAGACTCCTGATCCAGGTCATGGTTATTATCTCAAAGGTCCAGCTTGTCTCAAAGACTCTTGTCCAGTTGCCTCTTGAAAAAGCACCTTTGGGATAATCTAACCCAGCGTTTCTCAACCTGGGCAACATTGATATGGGCTAGGAATTGAAATCCAGACATCTTAAAATCACCCAGGTTTTTTTGGGGGGGGAAATATATATATATATATATACATATATATGGTCCAGTCCAACCCGAGCAGAGTTCAAAAGAAATTGCAGTACTGGAAAGACAAAAGGCGATTTCGATGAACTAACCCGGAAGCTGGACAAACGTTTACACGAGCATCTCTTATTTTCGCAGCTCTATGTACTCCGCTAGACGTTCGGTAGCGCCGCCGTATCAGGCTTGATTTAAAATCTCGCGAGAAGAAAGCGGTCTGCCTTTGAAAAAAATGGCGGACGAGGTGGATCAGGTGGGTGAAACGGCCGCTTTGGCGGCCGCTGAGTCTTCTAGGGGATTTGACCCTGTTGCGGCGGAAAGTGTAGCAAGCCTGAGGTTTTAACGAGAGCTTCAGTTTCTAGCTCTCGCTTTGAGTTCCGCAAAATCCCAGTAAACGACTTCTGGCGTTGCGTTCGTGTTTCATTCAGCGACCTGCCTCTTGAGGTTTATTTAATCGATTTATACGGCCGCTCATCTCAAATACCGACACGACTCCTACTATATAAGTTGCTTTTGGTTTCCTTTTGCAAAGCCTTAACTCAGGGGTCCCCAAACTTGGCCGCTTTAAGACTTGTGGACTTCAACTCCCAGAATTCTGGGAGTTGAAGTCCACAAGTCTTGGAATAGAATAGAGAACAGAACAGAACAAGGCCCAAGGCTCAAGGTTGACTCCGCCTTCCATCCTTTCTAAGGTAGGTTAAATGAGGACCCTGTTTGTGGGGGCAATAAGCTGACTTTGTATAAATATACAAAAGTATGAAGGCTATTGCTTAACGCACTGTAAGCCGCCCTGAGTCTCCGGAGAAGGGCGGCATATAAATCAAATTAAAAAAAAAAAAAACAATAGAGAAATAGAGATTTGGAAGGGACCTTGGAGGTCTTCTAGTCCAACTCCCTGCTTAGGCAGGAAACCCTACACCACTTCAGACAAATGGTTATCCAACCTCTTCTTAAAAACTTCCAGTGTTGGAGTACTCACAACTTCTGGAGGCAAGTCGTTCCACTGATGAATTGTTCTGACTATCAGGAAATTTCTCCTTAGTTCTAAATTGCTTCTCTCCTTGATTAGTTTCCATCCATTGCTTCTTGTTCTACCATCAGGTGCTTTGAAGAATAATTTGACTCCTTCTTTGTGGCAACCCCTGAGATATTGGAACACTGCTGTCATGTCTCCCCTAGTCCTTCTCTTCATCAAACCAGACATACCCAGTTCCTGCAACCGTTCTTCATATGTTTCAGCCTCCAGTCCCGTAATCATCTTTGTTGCTCTTCTCTGCATTCTTTCTAGAGTCTTCACATCTTTTTTACATCGTGGTGACCAAAACTGGATGCAGTATTCCAAGTGTGGCCTTACCAAGGCATTATAAAGTGGTATTAACACTTCACGTGATCTTGATTCTATTCCTCTGTTTATGCAGCCCAGAACTGTGTTGGCTTTTTTGGCAGCTGCTGTACATTGCTGGCTCATATCTAAATGGTTGTCCACTAGGATTCCAAGATCCCTCTCACAGTTACTACTATTGAGCAAAGTACCACATATACGGTACCTATGCATTTTGTTTTTCTTCCCTAATGTAGAATTGTACTTTTTTCACTGTTGAATTTCATTTTGTTAGATAGCGCCCAATGTTCAAGTCTGTCAAGATTCTTCTGTATCTTGAGCCTATCTTCTGGAGTGTGGGCTATTCCTGCCAGCTTGGTGTCATCTGCAAATTTTAAAGCTGCCAAGTTTGAAGACCTCTGCCTTAACTGATACAAACATAAGACAATAGTAAGGTTTGCAGTGGATGAAATGCTATTTCATGGTTTCTGGTCAAATGCCTTAAATTGGCGTTTCTCAAAATGTGGCGTCTCAGAGGTTCCGCAAAATCGAAATGATTTGCCAGTCAGTCTGTGTTGAAAAATAATGCAATATTAAAATCTTACCAGATTTTATAGTGAGAAGCCGATGAAGGATTCTCAGTCATCCAGTCTGGAAATTGAGTCAGGGCAACTGGACTAATTTTCTTTTTGGTTTGAAGGGTTTTGCTGCTTATCCAAGTGTCCAAGTTTTAATTTTTGATGTGAATATTGATAAATACAACCCACACAAACAAACTATTTTGGGGTCTGCTATAATTTTTAAAAGTGGCAAGGAATCCTGAGGGGGAAAAGTTTAAGGAAATGCTGCCTTAAATCATTCTCCATTGCTATATTGATCCTTAAACCTTCAGTGACTCCTGGATTAAACCCAATAGGCACCTTTTTTCAAAGCAAGTGTATCACTAGTGTGTTGCTGTGTGTTGCGGGTGTACATATTTGTGTGGCTGTTGAATGCCGTAAAATTAATATGTTCTAATTTACTAGTACTTGTTGAAGCGGGTAGCAAGTTGATATAGATATGCTGTCTATAAATAGGAAAGCTTACTTTTAGGCTATAAAATCTCAATTGTATGGGCATTTCTTGTTATGTAACTTTTTAATTATTCCTTTATTTGCAATTAGCAACCTTTTTCAATATTGGAAAATAAATCATTATGAACTTGGAATACAAAACAGAAAAACAGCATATGACAATATAGTTGTTTTGTTTGGGATTGACAAGTATTATAGTCAAAAGTATGTAATACTTTTATTTGTACAACATTGACTCAACATTGTCAGCAAAATACAGACATTGTTATAACCTTTGAGTCCTTCTAGTGAAATGTGCACCCAGTCTTTTGTTTAAAAAAGTGGTGGTCTTTTCTAAGATTTTTCAAAATCAAATATGAATATATCAAAACAGTTACTAATTTATTTATTTTTTTTTTGCTTTAATTTATATGCCGCCCTTCTCCGGAGATTCAGGGCGGCTTACAATGCGTTAAGCAATAGCCTTCATACTTTTGTATTTTTTATACAAAGTCAGTTTATGGCCCCCAAAATCTGGGTCCTCATTTTACCTACCTTTGAAAGGATGGAAGGCTGAGTCAACTTTGAGCCTGGTGAGATTTGAACTTGCAGTAATTGCAAGCAGCAGATGTTAATTACAGTGCTTTAGTCCACTGTACTACCAAGGCAACCTAGTCCCCTAATGTGGACTAGGTTGAGGAAAGCAGTATGTTTTTTCTAATTTAACTTGCATTTTCCTGTTAATCCAGTCATCACAAGTGAATTCTTGTCCCTCTGAAAGCTGATGAAAATTCACCATATTATATTACAAACTATAACTTAATTGCTTCCCATTTGATTTCAGTACACAATAGTTGTCATCAGATTAGGGTTTTTTGAGAAGAAATGAGTATCAGTAGCCAGCATTTACTATTTATTCATATACAACCTGCTTTTATTATTTTTATAAATAATTCAAGATAACAAACAAATCTAATACTCTCTCCTCCTATTTTCCCCACAACAATAACCTTATGAGGTGGATTGGGCTGAGAGAGCTTGACCAGCCCAAAGTCACACAGCTGGCTTTGATGCTTAAAGTGAGACTTCTCGTGATCTTCTCATTTTTAGCCTGAGCCTTAACTACTAGACCAAATCGCCTCAGGTTTCTTTGCTAACATATATCTCTAAATTTTTATATTTTACAGCAACAAACTACCAACACTGTAGAAGAGCCTTTGGATCTCATCAGGCTTAGTCTTGATGAACGGATTTATGTAAAAATGAGGAATGACCGAGAACTTCGAGGCAGGTTACATGTAAGTAACATTACATAGAAGTGGGGAGAGGGACTGAAATTTTAAAGTAGAGTTGTACTTTCTCTTTAGCTCAAAGACTGCAAGAGGCTTTTGAGAATCACACTCCAAGCATAGGTATAACCAGAGCCCATTTGCAAGTGGTTACAAAGGGGTGAAATGCCTTTGCCAGGCTTAAGTCACCTTTTTTCTGCAGTTTTATATTTCTGGTTTAAGGATTAGTTTTTTTTTTTAAGTAAAACAAGTTACAAACAATGCTTATTTAGTAATAGATCATTGTGGAGAAAAATTAGTTAAGTTATAATTTATTATTAAATTTATATGCCACTCATAAGCCAGTTAGTTGGTCATACAAGCAAAAACAGAGTCAAAGTAATTATGGTTTGTTTAGCCTATTCCTGATTTCTATTTTCCTTTCTAAATCTTTATTTCTGTTCTATCTCTGGATTTGTTAGAGCTTTGATAAGAGTTCAAACAAGTTAAAAACATGTTCAAATCTTGAATTTCCATTTTTAAAGTCACAGCTTTACACTACAATTGCGATTAGTTAGCAAAACAAATAGAGATTCAGTGAATGGTTTATTAATGATCTGTATGTTTGTATCATGCAATATCAAAAACAATCATGTAGTTTTTCATTGAGTAAGGTGGTATTTTATCCTTTTCTCAGGCAATTGCTTCAGTAGTAGATCATGCTTTTTTGTTTTTAAAAACCGGACTACTTTACTTGGTTGTAAAAGCAAAATATAATAGTTGATGTTCAAAGTTTAAAA